AAAACATTAAATCCATAAATATAGAATTATACAATCTTGGATCAATAATTAAATGACTATTCTATCATCAACAAATCAAAACTACACATATTGAATCAGACAGTCTAGGTATTTCAGTTAAAAGAAGTATTCCGAATTTAGATATTGCTTAATTTAATCATGTTAATGTTGTTTGAATAGAAACCAAATGCGTTGAATTGACAATTTTGTATAGTGTCAAGATTGTCAATTTTAATTAAGACCTTACAATTTGATTGACAAATTAAGGTTGAAGGACAGAAAAGTCAAATGAAATTTTGGATTTTTTATAGTAAAATTGTATCGAAGAAAGTTTTGAATGGTATAATAATGTATATAAATTGAATTGGAACCGAAACTAATTGGAACTAATTGGTTGTCGCCCGAAGGTGTTGCAAATTACGTTCGCCAATTTAAATATATTATTAACGGGCAGATAATATCGAGGGGGTTTGTGTTAATTACATCCACACCCTCCGAGTAGAATCGACGACAAAAGATGGGGTTGCGCGGAGTCAGCGGAGGGATGGTGGCGGTGGAGGGCAGCGTCGACGACGACGTCGTGCGTTGGTGGCGCACAATCGCGAAGGCGGCCGTTTCTGTTTGTCGGCCAAGGACGGCCCAATATTGATTGCGGCGTTAAAAATTGATTGTGCAAGAAGATACTGCTGGCGCGAATGTGTGTCAGGTTTGGATTATTCCGGCCCACCACCATTGGCAAAAGAGAGAGAGAGCAACAAACGAAGAAAAAGCGAACATAACATAAAACGAAAAAGCCAGTCGAAACGAGAAGGAAAATCCTCCGGTTTATCCCTGAGGGATGTTCACCAAATGGGATCAGAGGTTTCCGCTGATGACGCAGAGTAGGCGGAGGCAACAGGCCATCAGAGGGATTACGCAACCTACTAGGATCGAACGTTTCTTTCTTAATGTGTCGATTAAATCCGTTCAAGAAGATGCTGCTACCAAGCTACACAGCGCATTCCATTTCCGCACGATCAAATGCCAAAATGTTACATCATCGAAAACAACGATCGCTAATTGAGAATAATATGATAGGAATTTGAATATTCATAAATGAGGATGAGCGAAGACGGTTGAGATCTTGCGATGGGTTTTTGTTTTCGTGCAAGGAGGCAGTAAATCAACTGGAACCTTAAGTGACAGCAGTAGTAGTACTTTATGATCCTTTTGTGTGCATTTAAGAAAATAACGCACGTGAAAAGGCGCCAGATAATAACAAGGACTGCAAACACAGAGGCGCGTTCGTGTTTTCTTCTCTCTCTCTCTCTGTCTCGGTGGAGAAAGAAATAGGTGAATCAAGGTAGGGCCGGATCTCTAAGGAAACGGAAATAAATACCTTCTTCTTCGGTTAAATTGAGGTCAAAGGGGGCGGCTGGGGCGCTAGAGCACACGGCACGTGCAACCCTCATAATTACGAGACACTCTCCAAACAAAACTCATCGAAAGAAGAGTTTTCCAAGAGCGTAAAGACCTCTTTTATTATAACACACCCTCACTGACGATAAATTAACACAAATGTCCATACTACATCATAGTACACCAAAATCTATAATTATTTCTACCTTAACTTACATATGATTATTTTATTTTCATTCAAAACCAAGTAAAAAAAATAATATTATTATTACATATAAATTACATAATTAAACATTTACTTAAAGTCCTTAGATATGAATACTTAACTAAACATAAATAACATAAGATTACATAAAACTTAACAATATTTAGATGACCTTCCTATGAGTTAATGTTACAAATTTGAATAATTTAATTCCTGTTTTGTATATTTTGATAGGATCGAATCTTAACTAGTTAAAATACAACTATTTTGGTTCCTCAGTCACCAATTCTTTAGGATGCTTAAATCAAATTCCAAATTTATACACTATAAACTTCGCCTTCAATGAAATCTATACGTCCATATAGATAATCTCAAATTACTGTTTAGCACATCGTTTATTAATAACGATTTCATCAATTAACATTTTAAATGATTGAGGTCCTCGGGTCGGTGCTGCCAAAGCTACATTTGAATATTCATATTCTACCTATCTTTGAACTTTACGATGTTTGCTTTGGTTTTAAGGTCTTTTTGAAGAATATTGATTTCAAAGATTACCGATTTACTCAATGACATCAAGACCAAATACATTTCAGCTCTAGTTCAATATGATACTTTTTCTTCATGTAATATTTCCATCAATATTAGTTTTAGTCTTCAATATTTGTAATTATGTTTTTAGTATTCAACTAAATAATAATTTATTTTAGATTAAATTGCAAATAATTAATTAAAATTGCATTTCGCATAAATAATCGTTAACAGAGTTTTAGAAACACTGTTACTGCACAAATCAGCAAATTTCAATTTGCTTATCCGGCATTTTGTAATTTATGCATTGATAATAGTTCGGATTTACATACGCAGAGCTGAAAACAAGTGGACTCTAAACATGCAAACAATTTTCGACCACTGTGACCCCAAAACCAGGGTTTCCGCATTCCATTTCCAACGTACCCAAAAGAAGCACGCACTCAAAAAGCTGTACAATTCTTGCGTGCTCGAAATTCGATGCAACCAGGGAGACTCACATACAAATCATTCCCAGTTGCGTGCAAAACGAAAAAAAATAAACTTCCCTTATTGTGATTTCATAGCGGAATGGGTTAAAATTCAATTCAAACTGAATTTGCGCAAATATTTGCTAGAGCAGCAACATTGATGAGCGTTTCGAACAAAGGAGGATGTGGAATTTGCGCAAACGTTCAGGAATGCAAGCGACTCGAGAGACGAAATGGAAACAAAACGGTCACTAACTTTACTGAATGTGTGGAATTTGCAAAGTTCCAAAAAGGCCAGCAAACAAACAGACAAACAACAAACGGTCGGTCGGTCGACACGAGGCGAGAAGAAGGAAGGCTATGGACAAAACGGGCCCACTTTGCAGAAAACAGACGGAGCGAAAGGAAGCCAGGAACGAAAGCAAAACATTGACGAAACCGCTGACGATGCGGTAATCTGAGCTAGGCATCTAAAGGTGGTCACGAAACTGTACGGATAGGTGAAATAAATGTTCCCAGAAACATTGTTTTTCCAAAAAAAAAACAATAGCAGAAAGATCACGTAGCACCTGTTACCATCAACAGTCGCTTGACATCAACAAGGTTTTTCGGCATATTATTTATGCTACCTTAAGAAAACAACTGCGACGATGATAACATTGATAACAATTTGTTTGTTACTGCGTAGCATAAATTCCGTCGCTGCTAATTAGGTCTATATGCCAACGACCATACGTATCATTCTGTAATACTTTTACTGCATTATTAAAACCAAGCGCACTGTCGATGTACTTTTAATAGCTTTTATACTTGAAGTTAATCAAGTTCGAGTTGACATTAGTACAAACATCAAATTGTCTACATTACTGATACCACTTACCTCTCCAGTAGATATAAACTTATTTGATAGCTATTCCATCCATTAATTCTAAGTTGTAATGATTATTAATTTGAATGTAGTAGTTCAATATGTTGTATGTAAACAACACCAAATCTTCAATGGATTATATTAAATTCTGAATATGAATATTTAAATTAATTTGACTATTTTTAAATAATAAAATGTCCATGAAAGTCAATGGCATTTACATAATTTGTTAATTCAATAAAAAAAAGTGATCATAGAAGCAAGAATGATATTTAAGAATACTTTAATCTATTAAAATTAATAGCTGAATGTTTGAAACGCATATTGAAACACGAAGATTCGATTATAATTTTACAGAGACGATCAATAATCGATACAGAGGTGCTGAAATATTTAGAGCTGAAAGCTGAACGTTTGGTGCAAAAGCGATCCTCGGTTGTTCACCAGATTTGTGGAGACCCGAAAACTGTGCTGATCAGCTGAGCTGCTACGCGTGAAGGGATTAAAAGATATTGATTCTGAGGAGATTGCGCATGGGGGGATGATGATGAAGGGATCCTGGAAATTCTGGTAGCAAATAAAAGGTTTCATGGTTTTGTAACATTTGAAGAATGGTGTGCAAAAATCAGGGCAGAGCCAGATGTCCGCCCTTCGTTACCGCATGTAAATAAAGGGGGGGATGAGCTCACTGGGAATTGTCTCCGGGGGTGGCCCATCCCCCTTTCAGGTGACCTTGACCGAAACATCTGAAACTACGTGCACGGTACTTACATCTTTTTTTTTATGTCTTTTATGAATCTTCTTCTGCTCTTCGCTACTGTTGATTTCGACTCAATTCGATTGGATTCGAAGCAGCCCAGCAGCCGGTTTTAGCATAACTCACTCGATTCACGCGCAGCAGAATACTTGGCCATACGAAATTATTGTCTTCGATCTTTTGTATTCTTTTTGTGCGTTCTGATTGGAAACGCACCGGCAACAAAAACCGTCGCAATCACACTGAAGAGCGCACAAATGTTGATCCACGGTTGATAACGATTTTTGGGGGCTACAGGAATGATCCCGACGAACGGCTGGCGAATACTGCGCCTTCGGCAGTTCGCATATCAACTGGTACATAAAATTCTCTCTCGTTCTCTTTACGCACTTTACCAGGCAAAATAATCGATATTTGAAACGTTGCAACTCACAAACTCCCATCTTCTGACGACCTCCTATTGGTCCGTCGCTGAGGCGCCACCTCTCGTTCAAATCCCTCAACCAATCAAAGAACGTCTTCGAAACAATAGCATTGTGTAATGCAGTTTGATAAGATAAAGAACAAATAATTCAAATCCACTAAATTGATCACGTATCAGGATTATCAAGTATTCTACATTACTCAATAAATGGATTGTAGTTCTTAATCCAAAACAGAGATGAGCATATTTAATGGAAATTTTGATCATTTAATCATTTTCATTATTTCTAGATTGAGAATGTGAAACAAGTTGTTTCACTTCCAGGTGGTAAAAGGAAATGCGATATATTGTGTGACAAAAACAGAATTTATTTCCACCTCATTTTATTTAAATAAACACAGTTTACTTGGCTTTCTTAGACTTAATCTTACGCATGTAGAATTCAAGTTCCTTTCCTTCAAGGACGTAACCGTCGGCCCTACCGCATTGTCCAGGCCTGGATGACAAACAAGCTGTAAATGAAGAAAAATCATAATTAAAACACCATCCATAAATTCGCGTTTGAAGCAATTGTAAATTATTTTTATAAGATCAGAGTAACTATGACAAGCTGTAATCATCAGACAAGCTGCAGTTAACTTCAAAACGAAGTAACTACATAAATTTGTCCTCGCTAATTTTTTTCATCATAATAAAAGTAATTTAAATTTTTGTTGTATTTTTCAACGAAATTAGAGATAATACATACCCAACATCCTGCCGGTCATAAATTGTTCCTCAAGAGCTGTTTCAACTTTAGAGGTCTTTTGTCTAACTTCGTATTTCTTCTGAACCTTTTTGCTCATCTTCTTGTTGAGGGTGGCTTCTTCAGCTTCAGTCTATAACAAAATGACAAATAAATGAATCACTGTAATCTTTTGTATAAAAGTAAATACTATTGTTGTTAATAAGGGATCAGTAGCATTTCAATTAGGAACTTTTAATCATTGAATATATCAGATGACACGCATGAGAAACATCATTTCAGAGTAACTATGACATAGCAAAATCAAGGAGAAAACATGTGTTTAAGACAAACAATGACAACTTTCTCTTTTGGCTAATTAGTTATCATCACAAAGACTATATATATATGTTAGGAATGCATTAAAAAGATATTTACCAATTTAGCTCCCTTCTTGCGTCCCAGAGGTAAAATGTAATGACCTTCATACCATTGTCTGAATGGGGTAGAGTCAACAACAACAATTGCGTTCTTTACCAAGGTCTTGGTACGAACCAACTCGTTGTTACTGGCATTGTACACAACATCAATGATACGGGTTTTGCGGGCAATGCCTTCAGAGCCCCATGCAAAGTTTCCTCCATCAAGACGGAGAGCCCTGTACTTGGTGTTTCCGCCGCGAGTACGGACAGTATGAACTCTCTTTGAGCCCAATTTCGTGTTAGCCGCTGGACGACCTAACTCGAACTTCCTCTTCTTGCGGAGGGGCTTACGCTTGCCACCAGTGGCGCGCCTTTTGTGCCAGTGTGCCCGGCTAATACCTAAAACAAATGCACGTTACTATACAGCCCTGTATACAGACAAATTGAAAACATCCAAAATAGTGAATCGATAACACAACATCAAACATTAAAAGCCTTACGTTAATCAGGCGACCCATAATTAAACTTAAACCTAAGCCTAATATCAAATCGATAATATGCTTTCTAAGCAAATATGTGAACATAAAAACATGTTTTGATTATGGCCGTGCGCCATTTTGGGTTATGTTTGCTAAAACATATATTTTCGACTGAATTTTGGAAAAATCATCACTAAATTCATTGTAGAATAACTCACTGATTGATACACGACAAATATTTTCACAATCAAACTCACAAAACTTTGGATGTTTTCAGATTTTCTACGACCACTCGGCAGAATTACTTACCCATCTTGCATGAAATAAACTAAAGAGAGAAAAGGAAGCTGTCACCGAAGTACGATACCTTTCCCTGTTTGCTTCCTGCAGAGGTACCAACCTGAAAAAGAAAAAATCACTTCTTTTCTTTGTTACATAAAAATATTATTTAATTAAACATATCTAATACAGCCGTAAATATAATATTAAATAAATAACAAAGTACATTAATTGTAACATATTTTATAATGCATTAATGTTTTATTTATAAATTTTATAATACTTTAAATATATAAATGTTCTATAAATGTGTATATCTTTTATATAAATTTGATTCTATAACATTTATATATAAATTTATTAAATAATGTAGATGTCTTAATAAATATTAAGTAAAATGATTTTGTCATTTAATAAATAGTGTTTTTCTTGTTTTGAGCACCTGTTGGTACTATTGATGTAAATCAAAAATATAACCTAAGTTGAAGATAGTTTGAACATGTGATTAATTGTTTTGCTTTCAAAATGCAGGTTTCGGACACAAATGATGTGAAAATATATAATTTAAGTGCAGGAAAATCGCTACCAGAAGTACGTATTTACAAAATCTATAAATTAAAATATTAATGTAAAAATTTCAGTGGCTGTCGGAGAGAAAGAGAAGAACATTGCTGAAGAAAGATGTAGATGTGAGGAAAAGGATAGAACTCATACAGGATTTCGATATGCCTGGTGTGAGCAACACAATAAAACTATCCAAGGATGGTCAGTATATCCTGGCCACAGGTATTTACAAACCAAGGATGAAATGTTATGAGGTCAACAATTTATCATTAAAATTTGAAAGATGTTTTGATGCTGAAGCTCTAACATTTGAGATATTGTCAGATGACTATAGCAAGTTTGTGTTGATGCAGAATGATAGGTACATTGAGTTCCATGTAGCCCATGGTCGACATTACAGAATGAGAATTCCAAAATATGGTAGAGACATGAAATACCATTACCCAAGCTGTGATTTAATATTGGTGGGCCAATCGAATGAGATATATAGATTGAATTTGGAGAGAGGTCAATTTATGACTCCATTCACAAGTACAGTGTCATCTGCATTCAATAAGGTTGCTGTTAATCCTGTGCACAATTTGATTGTGTGTGGATCACAGGAGGGTAGAGTTGAAGCTTGGGACCCAAGAAGTAAGACAATGGTTGCATCTTTGGATTGTGCTTTCAGTTGTATCAATGAGAATAAGGAAATTGAAGGTTTCCCATCTGTAACAGCTCTGTCTTTTAATGGAGGCTTACAAATGGGAGTAGGAACAGCAACTGGTCAAATCTTGCTCTACGATATAAGGTCTAATAAACCTTACTTTGTTAAGGATCACATGTATGGATTTCCCATTAAAGATGTTGAATTTCATTATCAGCAAGATTTGATTTATTCCATGGATAAATCAATATTGAAAATTTGGGACAAGAATGATGGAAAGCTTTTTACATCTATTGAAGCCTCGACAGAGTTCAACAATCTCTGCGTTGTACCAAACAGTGGATTAATGTTTTTGGCCAACGAGAACACGAAAATGCAGACTTATTATATCCCTAGCCTTGGGCCGGCGCCGAGGTGGGCCTCTTTCTTGGATTCGTTGACCGAAGAATTGGAGGAGAATAATTCCGAAGTCGTCTACGATGATTACAAGTTCGTCACAAAAACAGAATTGGAGGGTCTGGGATTGGAGCATCTTATTGGTACAAATCTGCTCAGAGGCTACATGCACGGATATTTCATGGATGTGCGATTATACAAGAAGGCCAAGTCAGTTGCAAATCCATTTGAGTTTGACGAGTACCGCAAGAGGAAGATTAGGGAGACCATCGACAAGAACAGAACGAATCGCGTCCAGCTGCAGAAACTTCCAAAGGTCAATAAGGACCTTGCTTTGAAGTTGATGGACGAGAAGAACAGCAACAAGAAGAAGGGTAAGAGCGCTGCAGAACTACTCGCAGATGACAGATTCAAGGACCTCTTTGCAAATCCCGACTTTGAGGTGGACAGGAATGCAGATGAGTATAGGTTACTCAATCCTGTATTGACCAGATTGAACACAAGCAAGAAGGAGGAACTGAAGAAGAAACTTTTGGCTAACGATTTCGAGCAAGTGGATGAAGAGCTTGAAGGAAAGAACAGTTCTGACGAATCCTCTTACGACGAAAACGAAGATAGTTCTGATGACGATATGGCCTGGACCAAGCAAGTCAAGAAACAACACAAGTTAATTACAAGAGAACACAGGGCCAAGGATAAGGCCGAAGAGGAGGAAGCAGAGGCGGCGGAAGAGAAGCAGCCGCAAATGTTCGAATTGAGACAAGGAGAAGAATACAAGGGTATTCAAAGTTTGAAGCGCAAAACGAACAAGTACGTTATCTTTATATATAAAAACATTTGTAACACAATTAATTTTGCTTTGTTTTTAGGGTTGCGTTGGGCGAAAGGTTGAAGGAGGAAGAAGTTAATACAGTAACTTTGGATTCAATGGGCAACAGGCAGATGTCATTCACGGTGCAAAAGAGTAAAAGGGATAGGGCCATGGACGAGCGGAATAAGAGGCACAGGGAGGAGAGGAAGAAACTTGTGAGGCCCACGTTCGGTTTGTCGAAACGTAAAAAGTTTTAAATAAGTATTGTAAATAAATTTGAAAAAAAAAATATAAGTTAAAAATATATTATTTCTATTCGTTTATTATTCAAATTCTTCACGTTTTATTGCGCCATAGCTCTCATCGAAATACTGGTTCGGATGATTGATGACGTTCTTGTTCTCCTTGAAACGAGTGTATTCAAAGTACTTTCCACATGCCAACTGATAGTGGCCCTTCTGAGCCATCTCGGAAATCTCTATCGCATCTAAAACATTATTATTTTTGCATATAAATAAAACTATTACATATCGTTTATCTTCCTCTTACTTTCTTGTCTTAAACCATAAGATTCAAGTTTTTCTTTCAAAACCGTGGATTCCCATTGCTTATATGGACATCCGTGCTGTTCACCATAACCAACGCTATCCGTGATAATCTTAACGCAGCTGTATGGGGAATAATTTAACATGCTACCCACTTTACCATAGCAATGTTTCACCAAGTATGAATATTGCTTTTGAAATTTATCTTCATCGATATTCTTTGTAAACTCTTGCCTCCAAAATTCCATGCAATCTTCATATTTCAATCCAATTCCTTAAACAGAAAAACTCATAAATAAACTTTCCACAAAATAAATATATATTTGTAAGACTTACCTTTTAGAAACAGTAAGTATTGTAACCTGCATCCATGTTTCAAATGATGGTTGGCCTTTAATGTTTCATGAATATGCCTCATGCAAAGTGGATAATGATCTTTGGCATGTTTATCCAAATTCCCAACTTGAATTTCTGATTTATTTGCATTTACCTCACTGTAATCTTTACCAGTGTAAGCATCATTCAGATTGTGCAGCAAATGATTGATGCGATCATCATCTAATAAGGGCATCCTTTTAAATGCATACTGAAAAAGAGTTAAATTAATAATAAAGCAAAATTAAATTTAAAGAAAAACAATATGCACATACAATTAAATTTTCACTCAAAGTGTGCCTGTAGATATTGGAAATGCATGTGACCAGCTCAAAGCTTGGAATGTAAGCGTAGCCACTTTGAACAAAAACCTTTCGATTTCTAACTAAATTTGGTACATCAGAGAATGGAACTTTATAGAAGTCTGTGTTATCCAAAATGAAGAGACCACCAGTCGAATCAATCAATTGTTCTCTCAGCTCATCCCTCTCATCCTCATTTATAGGATAATAGTGCAAGTTGTTGATTTCTAGAAATTGCTGGACACTAGCACCTCTCAACTCCAGAAACCTTAACTTGAACAGCTCCAATTCTCTATCTTTGAACCACCTCCTTAACTCTTCAGATCTGCAATAGGCCAGTCTAAGGATAAAATGTGATATGTGATCTGCTCTTCGTGCTTGGTAATCCAATTCTGATGGATTGCTTGATCCAGATGACTTGATTATTCTCAAAAACTTCTTCAAGTTTTGCTTCTGCAGTTCCTCGTATACGAAATTCTTCCATTCTGTACCGAACTGTTTCACTGGTTTTTGTGATGCAAATGCAAGGATTCTGAGAACATTCAATCTCTCAACAGCCAAATCTTCAAATTCACTTAGACTGATTTCACTGCTTGGTGGCACCGTGAAGAAATTCAAATCGTGTGGGTATAGTTCCTTGAGGCCATCGGGGATAACCTTTTGCTGTTTTCTTCGTCGATTCAAGCCCAAATCCATTTCGAATGTTTACCAATGTTTACTGAATTGAATCCCGCCAAAATATACTTTACAGTAGGTTATAGTTTGCAGGTGCAGTAACTGTTGGTGTTTGAATCACAAACATGATTTTGATTTTTTTTCAAAATATTTTTATATTTTACTTATATAATTCTTTAAAATTTCTGTTAGTAAAATAAAATGATAAATCAATACTTATATATAAATTTGCATCAACTAATAAATGAAGTACTGCAGTTTCTTTCAGACTATAATTGTTACTAATTATATTAATATCCCTTGTTTCTATTAACATTTTATTTGTTACTTAAAAAAATCAATAATATCATTAAATAGTGTTGACGTTCATTGTTGATCATGAAGAAGTATGTATTCATTTCTTTGCTGGTGCTTTTCGGTATGGAGAAAATTTCTTCTTCACCAATTTTTCTGGATTATAGTAGTACTTCTTCTCGTGTATCGTTCTCTCATCGAACCAACGTCTCATATACGCATTCGATAGAAGGCATTGCATGTGAAGAGGTTCCTAACATATCAAAAGAATCACAATAAGTGTTATATAAATGTAGATAATAAAAGCGAAAACCTTTTCGTAACTTGGAGTGAATCCTTTGATATTGTTCAAAACCGCATCCGAAGACACGATCATGTTTTTTGGTTTTATCAAAGGTGATGAATTCCATTTCAACACGTATTTTACCATTTCTTTTCTGTATGTAATAATCACTGATAATTTTAAATTGCTGAAATCACTGACAGAACTTTTGAAAGTTACTTTGTTGATTTATTTTTTGAAATGAATAATAAATTAATTAAGGACATTTTTAAATTTATATAAGAAAATACTGTTCCTTTATTGTGTTTTCAATTTAAACGTATAAATATGCAACCGACGTGGCATCAAATTCAAACTTTTTCAGTTGGGAATTGAATAACGAGAGAATGGATAATTAGTTCTTATATTGTAATGTAATTAGGTTTATGAACAGCATAACAGTCGAATAATGAGCTTTAATACACAGTACGTTTCCGTTCTTAAATCCGTTTTCATTATACATAAAGTAGACTTTAATTATTTACGTTCTTATTACAAACCTATTTTTTTGTTGGAAACAAAATTGTTCAAACAAATATAAAAACGATATGTACAAGTGTACACGTGAATCCAAACTAATATATATATATATGTCCAATATTTGCTTTAACTTTTCATTACAAACTTGTCCGATCGGATTTTTCTTATTTTTATTTAAATAAATATTATTTCAGACTTATACAACTATGTGAGACAATACACAAACAAGAAAGAAAATAAGAATCGATGCACGCTCAGCAAAGTGTCCTTCTTCTCTTGTCGTCCTAACATAACTGCATCGAATTCGAATTCCTTCTTTTCACCAAATAACAGAAATAAGAATAATAAAAAAAATAAAATAATAAAATAAAAACACCAAATTTTATTGTATTTACATTCTTCCACAATTGAGATTTCAAAAGAGGAACAATTACTCGTTTGTTCGCACTTCGTCTCCGGATAACCCGTCCCAAAACATGAAAAATAATAAGAAAATAATGAACAAAACGAAAAAGAGAGAAAAAATAATAATAATAATTGTATTTATATACAAGTTTATATTAAATAACTTAAAGAGATAATTCGCAATAAAAAAAATATATGTATATGTATATAGTAGTAAGGTTTTGTTGCAGTTGTTTTTTTCTTCTTCCTTCTCTTAAGAATCTAGACAAGAAAATTTCGCGAATTCTGTAAGACGCACTTTTCGCTTTTTTTTTTTGGCTCTTCGTTCAATTACATTACAAAATACAATTTAGTTTAGTAACAAGGAAAAAAAACAAAATCTGAATAAATTACTAGTAAAAAAAAAATATGTAAGTATTATACAGGGAAATATTATCTGATATATATATTTACACGACTAAAAATGTATTAAGATAGCTTCAATTTTTATTTATTTTTTGATATCTTAATACATTTTTGGGTCCGGTTAAAAAAATGCGTCTCACATTTACGTATTTCCATAATCTTCGTCTCTTATAAGTTTTGTAAAAAAAGAATATATAATAAAAATTAATAAGATGTAATTAAAACAGAAACAGTAATCGAAATACAAAGGACAAAAAAAAATATAGAGAAAGAAATAAAGAATCGCTTAATTTCCATTCCTTAAGCATTCGAGACTTAATTAATTGGATAATAATAATAATATAAATCAATAAAAACAGTCCATCTACAATTATTACAATTTGATTATACATACTAAAGGTTTAAATTAATGCTTTCAATTATTATTTTCATTATATTGTATTCATATAATAAACATTCTTGTTAATAATTTTTTTTACCACTTCGTCTCTCATCGTCCTAAATGTTCATAACGTTTAATATTATTAAATATATTTATATATTATATGTATAATCGGAGGAGGCCGTCGAAAGGAACAGTCATAATAATAATATTATATATACATATATATAATATGTTATATATATATGTATATATATAAATACCGTAAATATTAGTTGGAAAAGCTACCGTCAAGCTATCCACTATATCCACTAATCTCATCCCTCACTAGTCTCCTCCTCCTCCTCGAAAGAAAGAATTTTTAATAATTTTTTTTTGTTTAATTCCAAGCGTAATCGAAGTCAGTCTGATTATTTTCCATGTGTATCTTTTATTTTTTTGACCAAAGAAATGTTCTTTTTTTTTCATGAATATATTTCTTCCTTCATTGTTTTAATAATAATAAATGAAACCTATATAAAGCGCACATCACTGAATCAATTTAACAGTGTCCCCTCACACACACACACACGTGAAATTTCCATCATCATCTTCATCAATTTTAAAATTTAAATTAACTTTTGTGTTTTTGTTTGTTTAAAGAGTCAAGTTCAAGTATCACAGTCCACCTAAAAATTATTTTTTTTTATATATAAAAAAGAGAAAACCTTCGATAAAATAAAAATTAAATAATAGTAAAAAAAAACAAACACCCACTGCATTTGAATAATTTAAATATTTTGTTTTCTTTTATGCTGAATTAACTTTCTTCTTTTTGGGACTTTTGGGATGCGGCCGCGGCTGCGGCTGCTGCTGCTGCCGCCGCCGCCTCTTCTTCCAGAATCTTCTCGCGTTCGGCCCTTGCTTGTGCTGCGGCCGCTGATCTGCTGGCGCTCGAACGAAGATTCTTCTTTTCTCTTATGCTCTCCGGGTCGATGGGAAGCTCACCAGATTTGCGTTTACCACGCGTCCTTTTAGCACTTTTCTTGGGCGTCGTCGTTTCCTCGGTTTCCACTATGTCCGTTCCGCTCGATTCGTTCAGATTTAACGGCTCCAGCTGCTCCGATTCATCCTCTGATGCCTTGACCACCGTCGACGGGGGAAGTAGTGCCTCGATGTCGATCGGGACCGGAACTGCCGGAGGCTGTGGGACCGGATGATCTTCTTTGGGCTTCTTAGCTGGATGCTCGTCGTGGTGTTGATGTTGCTGCTGCTGCTGGTGGTGTTGATGGTGTTGTTCAACATCGTGAACGTGAGAAGCCAGGTTTTCAGGTTCAGGCGTGATTTCCCTGGGCCTCTTCATCGATTTCGGTTCCTCTGTCATCGCCCTGGCGATGAATTCCGCGTTCGTTTTGCTCAGATGCTCCAAAGCTTCCTTCATTTGCTGTTCTTGGGACTTTTTGCTCGGATTTGCCTGTTCCAATAGTTTGGTGAAGTCTGCTAAACCGGGTGGCAGCTTTTTGGTATCTTTGGGATTCAAGAACTCGGGTGGTAACATACCCCTTAAACTGTTTCGTTTGTCGTCCTTCTTTTCTCTGCTACTTTGCTTGACCATCGATTCTAACGTGTCTGGCGGTAACAGTAATTGCTGCATTTGAGACTCGCGATGTTTGCTGCCTTTGGTGCCGGTCGAGCTTTGCGTTGCCGTTGCAGGTGTTGTCGTGGTTTGAGCTCTCGATGTTTTCGATTTGGAAGATGATGAAGTCGGCGAGGCGGCCGGATTCAGGCCGTTCAGCAAACCACACTGTTGCGCCAGCGAATCGTAGGACATTCCCGGTTGCAACGAAAACGGATTGAGATTTAGCGGAGTGTACAGCAGTCCTGGATTAGGGAAGAAGAATGGGAATGCATTTGTCGAAGGGATGTTAGATGCCGAAGACGATGTTGAGGTTTTCGTTGAGCTGTGCGCTTCGGCCGGTTTCGATTTTGAGGTACTAGAAGATTTGGTGGTTTTCGTCGATTCGGCGGCGGCGAGGGCGTCCATGCCAGCCAATCCCGGTATTCCACCCAGGAAATTGAAGAGGTTCATGTTGGCGAGGTTGCCGAGACCGCCCATAGAGCTGAGCGCATTCATGTTGGGCATACCGGCGAAGGGCATCAGCAGCGAGTTCTTGGGATCAAACTGACCCAAACCTGATAAGCCTGAAAGAAGGTTAGAGTTGATGCCGCTGAGATTAGTTCCAGCTAGAGAGGGGAACGAGAGGCTGGAAGCCATCGAGGTGGCCAGATTTGCAGAGCTGACGCTCGAGGTGGAGCCTGTAGGACTCGATAGTACCGGCGGCCTGCCCGGCGTCGTAGATTTCTTATTGCCAGGCAGCCGCTTGTGCAGATCCTGTGTTAAGTTGCCTCGCTCCTTGACGAGCTCGGCCCACTTGGGATCTATATCATACATAGGATTTTCCGTTAGCCAAGTACCTAAACGTTTCAACGTGGGCGCCTTGGGCCCAGTTAATTTCTTACTTGTGACTCTATTGATTACGGAAACGTTCTCATCCCCAGTCAGTTTCTTCCAGTCTAGCAGGGATGGATCTACGCGGGGTCGTCGGCGCCGCGGCGCCAAATAATCCGCACCAAGGGGTTGCTCAGCGAGAGCAGGATTCTGCTCCGCCAACCACTTATTCACTTTCGCTTCGTGTGAATATGAATTCACTTTCGAACTGAAATCTGCCACCTTACTTATATCTGCGATCATCGCTTCGTAATTCTTTCTTTGTTGCTGCTGCTTTTTCAAAATCATGTTCTGCTGCTCAGCCTGCGCCAGGAAAGTGCTATAAGAATCTTTGCTTGATAGCGCTGGCATCATATTCTGTAATGCATTATTGCTGTTGCCACCTCCGTTTCCGCGAGAAGTACTTTGGCCGCTGGATGGTACAGAAGTTACAGTTATCGAGAATGGCTTCTGGGATTGGTTATGGGAACTACTGATTGGTGCAGATGTGGGTGTTACTGTCACACTGGGTGTAACCGTTGGTTTCTTCGTAGTATCAGTGAACAGGGATTGTTCCTTGGCGGCCGATAATCCCAGAACGATTTCGTCAAGTTTTCTCCGCTTTTTCTCCTTGCCAACTACCGGTTCTGGTTCAGGCTGCAATTCAAATCAAAATAAATATCTAAAGCAAGAAACAAACAGAGAGTACTTACGCAATTTTTCCTCTTCATTAGCTTAGATAATGTATCATCCAATTTGTTGCCACCTTTGTTAGCCTGTTTCTTTGAAGGCATCGAAAAGTCTTGAACTTCATTTTGAATATCCATACCGACCTTTGGTATTTCTAGAGTATTCATTTTAGGTAACCTAAATTATATAAAAATCCAAATTAATAAGTACATTATAACACTAAACTTTGCGCAGAATGCATAATAAACTATACACACTTAATACCGGCTAAATAATAACAGATAACATACCCTGAGCTTAAATCGATTGGTGTAAGAGTGGAACTTGTACCCGGTATGACCGTTGTTTGTCCAATAGTTGTTTTGGATAGTGGTGGATTATATTTTAAATCGTATGGCATTGTGTTGACTTTAGATGCATGTTGGTGAGCTGGCGGTGGTTGTAACATACTCTGATTAACAGGCGTTGATCTACGGGAATCTTCGGAATCCTCATCCCAAGATCCATGCTTTGTTAGAGGATTTGGAACGCCGTGATTCAAGAGAGCGTGCAGCTTCGCCCTTTCGGTTTCTACGTCTATAGCAATGTGCCGTTTTCTTTTCTTATTGGCTCCTAAAATAATTCATATTAATGTAGTAACATGATTTCAAAACACGAATAAAAATATATAATAGAAAAAATGCATACCTCCTCTATTCAGACTACTATCTGTAGTAATGGTAATAATTTCTGAATCTCCCACCGATTTTGGTGTTGAACTGTCACGTTTTGGTGGATCGTTTGGAAGTTCGTGAATGGCAATGTCGTATTCATTGCCTATACCACTGGCATAAGCCGAAAAGTTCTTTCCCACGGGCCACTCCTTGGTTTCGATAGCATATATAATATGCTGTAATCTAACCTGAATCGCGTACTCCTTTGGCCATTTCACCGCGTTATTGAAGAGCTGCGCCACAGTGGTTTCGCTAAAGTCTAAAGCACCTAAAATTAGTTTTCATGTTGTACACTGGCAAAATGTATAATCACACCAATCTTACCTGAACCCTGCTTATCTCTGAGGACAAAAGTGTCAATTTGCGACAACCTGGACAGTGGTTGGATAACTTCGAGGTCTGGGAACATTGCTTTTAATTCTGCCGCTTGCTTTGAGCATAAATCAGATTCAGTTTCCTTCTCCTTGATTGGCTCAGCGGGTTTAACAGTTTCCTTAGGTACTTCTTTAACTTCAGGGATAACTTCATCGTCAGATTTGTCCTTCTTTTCTACTTCGTCTACTTCAACGACATTCTCTTCCTTCTTATTCTCAACCTCCTCTTTAACTTCTTTCACTTCCTCTTCCTTATCTACCTTTTCTGTTTCTTTTTCAACTTCGACTGGTTCTTCTTCCTTCTTGTCCTCTACCAATTTTTCTTTTTCAGGTTCCTCCTCAGGCTTTTCTTCTTCCACCTCCTTCTCTGTCTCATCCTTTTTATCCTCATCTACTGAATCCGGTTTCGGTTCATCCTTTTTATCTTCACTATCAACCTCCATCTTTTCATCGGCTTCTGCATTGGCTTCGGTTTTTACTTCCTCGCTTTCTTTCACCTGCTCCTCTTCCTTAACTTCAGGTTGAGGTGTCTTAGATCTTGGAGGCTGCGATTCAGCTTCTGGTTCTTCGGATTTAACTAACGTCATTTGAACTTTGTAGTCTTCGTCTTTGACAGTTTCCACCTTTTCTTCGCCCTCTTTTTTCGCAGCAACCTTTTCAATTTTCAATGTACCTTCTCCCTTCTCCAACTTAACGACAATTTCATTCTTATCAAACTTCAATAAATCGTCGCGCGGTTCTATTTTCATGGATTCCTTCAAATCATTCACTTTTTCAACATCTGAGGTAACCTTTTTGCGTAAGATCTCTTGGAAACAGAGATCCGGGTCGTTCAGAATGTAATAATCTGTACGTCCTAAGCCATGCCTAAAATATAAAATGCATTGTTTAATATTATTCATTATATGAAATAATTAAAGATTTAAACTTACTTCGCCACACCGAGTAATAAGTCTTTGTCGTGTTTACCAGCGACCCACCAATCTGGCATATCAGCGGATGTGATGCAAACTTTCAGTCGTTCGTCTAATTTAACATGAGTCAAAACCTCTTCTCTGATCCTGGACAGCAAATCCAACCTTTCCAGAGTTCGTCTTGCCTTTTCCTCAGTGATGTGCTCGATACTAGTATCGTAATGTTCATCCGGTTCCTTAGATCCAGTTTGTTTCTTGCACATAATGACAAAACTTTTGTAATACTCGTTCAGCTCGTCATCTGTTTTCTTCTCAAGCTTAGCAAGCTGCTTGAAGCGAATCCAGTCGAAGGCCTTCTTCTTTCTATTGTAGATCACTCCGTATGAAGAAATGACACGGAAGAAGTCCGTTTCCTCGCGTCTGGTCCATTTCTTAGAAATCGATGGTTTGTCCTTATCGCGCATCGCCTGTTCCAGTTGCTTGCCTTGTCTTTCCATTTGCTGCAAAACGCGAACATTGAGGTTTTTTAAATGCATTCGAAGAGTAATTGTAATGAAAGGGAGAAAATATGTTACTGACGGTGACGCAGACGAAGAAAGTAGGTGTGCGCATGAGGGAGAACGGATAAAATAATTAAAGGAAATGTAACAAAACGCATAGTTGGAAATCAACGCGGTTGAATAAATCATGAGAGCTCTATTGATTTAGATTAATTACGTTAATTTGTACTGGACTCCCTCATACCCCGACCATACACCGCGCGACCCGACGCCATCAGAACAAAAACCCAAATCAATAAAAGCATATAATACTTATATACATGTAACATCAATAACTTACCTTACACGGAGCTTATAAAACAGAAATTACGTAACATTTGAATTGATATTTTAAGAGCGAGAATTATATTTGCTGATCAAAAGATCAAATGTATAGAAAGATTTTTTCATCAACAAACATGCTTAGAATTAATATATAATAGAAAAGATATAAATAAAAAATGATTACGAGCAATAATAAGGCTTGTTCACATTGTAATATATTAATGATTTAACATGGAAATGATCTACATGGATGTAGTATATTATAATGTGAGCAAGTCACATTTGTAAACGTAATTGAAACATTTAAAACATACAACATAAAAAGCGCTTAAGGAGTAAATTCAGTTGGTGGTGATAGAAAAAGGATGCTAGGGTGGGTATTCAAAGGTATTAAGATGTTGTGTTGGTTTGGAAGCAACCACCAAGCATCAAGTAAAGTTGATGGTTGCTACCAATACACAATTAGCATTAATACTCTTTCGGTTTTTCTTTTAGTTGTTTGTTTTCGATGTGATAATTTTGATTGAAATTTTGAATTTTTAAATTTTTTTGTACTAACCAATATGTATAGTGCCAATTGGTGCATATCCCAGTTGTGTAAACCAAGGGCGGATAGATCGCGTCCATCCATTTGCTGGGAGACCTGTGCCAGGGCGGCCAACGGATTTGTCATGGCTGACTCAATGGACTGCTGCAGAGTGCAAGTAAACTACATACTACTAAGAACATTCTCAACACAGCAACGGCATGCACCATTACATTTTTTTTTCTTTTTCTTTATAACTCACATATGATTATGACATGAATAAATAGTGCAATGCATAATGATATATATTTCTGTATGATAAGTCTTCGGGCATAACCCAGACCTCAACTACTCATTCAAAATAAGAATAGGTAAAATAATAATTGAGATGAATTTGCTTTGAAACTTGATATAGATGAATGATTTTGTTTTGTTTTTAAGTAATTAAAAAAAGAAGTACACTTAAAATACAAGGGTACAAACTTTGGGGTAATTCCTAAAAAATATTTTACCTTTGTTGGTTTTGCGGAAACCTTGGTGGTGGTTGTAGTCGTGTCTTCCTTTCTATAGTTACGCTGATAGGAAGTGATGACCCGCCTGAGCCGAGTGTTGAGATCAGTCACGCTGGGCCAAATATTCTTCTCCTCTTCCGTCTCCTCGATTTCTGCGGAAGGCTGAGTCTCCGAAGATCCGGAAGGCCCAGGGGACGGCTCGGCAATGTCCGAGTTCACATCAGACTTCTTCGTGATCTGATCTTCGTTGGAGTCGTCGTCCAGTTCATCACTAAAAGTAAATTAATAAAAAATCCGTGGACTAGATTCCAACACTGGTGGATGTTGATAAATGGAAAGCAGTGTGCACATTGAAAGCATGCCAAATAATGGTTAGGTATCATATTAGGCTGAAGCATATAATAACTTAACACAGAGAGATAGAAAGATAGAACATCATGCATCGAGTATACTTACGACGTTTGATATCGATCGAATTGATGATTTTTTTTTGCGTATTGTGTATTTGTAATTTTCGTTTGTTTTGTATTCCTTTTCGAGTTTACTTACAGTGGTGCGGGTGTTGGTGGTTGTGTGTTAGTATTGTTGACAGTTTGTTGGAGCTGTTGTTGTTGAAGTTGGAGATCGCGTGCGCTCGGAGGACCACAACGGGCCAAGAAAATAAGACCGGGATCGGCCCTCATCTCTGTATACATCTCGTATCCATGCTTCCAGGTGCCCACCAATAGGGACCTGTCGCACTCGACGTCCCACCATTCGCAAGGCATTGGATCCGATATGGGAGGATTTATGGGCAAGGCACTGCGAAACCATACCACGTTGCCAATTTTATCAATTTTGCCAAAGTTTATTTAATTCCAAAAAGATTTGATTTTGGTTGCTTTTGTTCGTTCATTTTGTTTTGATTAATAGAAAAAAGAGAATTTTGAGTCGCCGGAAGTGCCGTACCCTAAAGTGATTAGAGAGGGATTCGGGACCAAAATATTTTAAAGACATAGAAAGCTCGTAAAAAATATAAATAAATAAAATGATGAAAATAAATATGAAAATGTGTGTATGTAATTTTACGTATCAAAATATGTGGCCTTTTGATGCGTAAAATTTGGGAAATCTTAACCGCTCAACTATTACAACTATAAACAGATGATTTATGATCTTCTACTCATTCCATCTTTCTCCAAAGACAAACAAAAAATCAATAAAACAAATAATAGTTATTAAATAGTTAAGTGGTTAATATTTTGATTAAACTAATTCGATGCTAAGGCATGAAAAATTAAATGATTTCAACAGAATAAATAAATTATATAATGAGAGCTGAAGCAAGATTATTGTCTGGCATGGCAAACAAAGCTCCATGCATATCTTTTATATTATAATTGTTAATTAATTTAAATGAATACCAGTGCTTATTTTTCCAAATCTAATTTAAGTATATTTCAAATTGAAATCAAACACCATTTTGGATCAGTTAATTTGAAAAAACAAACACTAGTAAAAAAAAAAGCATTTGATAATGTAAATATAATAGTTTCTCATGTAATGGGATTTATCTTACCTAGCGTTGACACCATCAGTGATGTGTTGTACTAAATCGCCAATAATTTCGTGTTTAATATAATACAGCATACGAACACGAAGCAAAACCCTGTGTGAAAATATATTCGTCAATATTTAAATTTAAAAAAAACAACAACTTCCTCATGTAACAATCAATAATCAGGTTATCGTGAGAAAAGTTTATTTTCAGTGAATGCCTAAAGCATTCTCTAAATTAGCATGTAGTTCATCATGTTATTAATAAATACTTAATATACATTATCAGATTGTCAACTTACTTGTTCGCATGTCTACCCAAGTGCTTCTTGTAGTTGCTTTCCAGGAAGATATCACCATCGTACTTTTCACTTTTGCTCCAATGATTGGGATCCGTGAGTGCTGCATGTCTGGCTTCTTTTGTACTTGTACCGACACCAGCAGATCCTGCCGCCGCCGTCGCTGCAGCGACAGCGCCTTTCTTGCCTTTGGCTTTGCTTCTGATGCCCCTTGGAACTGGATCTTTAAGCCCGTGATGGTTTTTACTGATTTTCTGTTCGCCGTTCTCGTTCGGCGATATCAAGTCCCATATGAATGCTCGGATTTTCTCATCGCCGCGGTAGAATCGCAAACAATACAACAACTAAAATATAAAAAGCAAATTAAATAAACTGTTATATGTCAGAAGGCAAGTGAATATCTTACAATAACTCTAGCGCAGTCCTCGACATCCTGTTCTCTCCAGCCTTTTCGAAGTTGCGAATGTTGTAGAATCTCTTGCCACCTTCCCCATCCAAAGGTCAGCAATCCTCGTTCTACCATGAAGCATTCTCTTCGCGCCCAACTGCCGTACACTATTTCTCCTCTCTCACCAGGAATGTAATCATCTCCCCTCAACCTCTTCTTGTGTTTATCTTTCCTTCTTCTGCTCCGCATGCCCAACGATAGGCCCTCTCCATCAGGATCGCTATCTGATGATGACTCCAATTCAGACATGTCAATTGCGCTTTCGTCGTGACCGTAACGCTTGATTTGTGTACGTCTACGGGGCTCAGATATTACTAAATCTTCGGTTTCGTCTTTTTCAGTTGTATCGATATCGGCTTTCTTTGCCCACTTATTCCAAAAGTCAGGATCATCGATATTGATGTCCGAACGATTAGAGCTAGCTGCAAAAGTCGCTTTGGAGAAGGTAGATCCCTTCTCCGATTCCATCGTTATAACTTGGGTGCGTCTGGCAAGAATAACGTCGATGTCTTCTTCGCAGAATTTGTCACCGTCGTTCTCGTCGTCCAGCAAAGCACCGTACGCTCCCTTCTTTAATAGATCTTCGATTTCCTTCTTACTCAATTGCTTGCTGCCGGACTCTTTGCCACCCTGAGAAGTATTCATGCTTTGCAAAATAGCTTTATCCAATCCTAATTTAAGTGATGCTTTGTCGAACATTTCGCGTTCGTATGTATTGCGGCAGAGTAGACGATATATTTTGACCATTTTCTGTTGACCAATACGATGGCAACGTGCCTGCGCTTGCAAATCGTTTTGCGGATTCCAATCACTGTCATAAATGATCACAGTATCTGCAGCAGTTAAATTAATACCCAATCCTCCGGCTTTCGTGCAGAGCAGAAAGACAAAACGGTCAGAGTCTGGCCGTGAGTAGCGATCAATAGCCGCTTGCCGCATGTTACCTCTAATTCTGCCATCGATCCTTTCATACGGATATTTTCTATACATTAAATAATCCTCTAAAATGTCCAGACACCGAACCATTTGGGAAAATATCAGCACTCTGTGTCCGTTTGCTTTCAATTTTGCTAATAACTTGTCAATCAGCACCATTTTACCGCTGGAGTTAATTAACGATTTGTAGTAGGAATCTGGGTCGTCTCCGTGACTTTGTTTAAAATCGTATTGAATTTGGTCTTCTGCACCATTCAATAAATACGGATGGATGCAACATTTCCTCAATTCCATCATGGTATTCATTAGATTCGGTATATTAGCATGCGTTGTTCCTTTTGACAAGAAACTGAAATTCCTTTCCAAAATACCTCTGTAATACTTCTTTTGAATATTCGTCAACTCCACTTCCACTACAGTCTCTTCTTTAGGTGCTAGAGATTTCTCTACATCTTCTTTCAATCGTCTCAGCATCATAGGTTTCAAAATAACTTGCAATTTTTGTACTTCAGTTTCGGACTTCAATGCTCCAAATTCCTGCAAAAACAATTCATTGCTTGGGAACTGTTGAGGCTCCAAGAAGTTCAACAAGGAGAACAATTCATTAACGTTATTTTGTAACGGCGTTCCAGACAATAATACTCTGTGCTCAAGAGTTAACTGCCGCAAACCTTCTAAAAGTTTACAATTTCTGTTCTTCAATCGATGAGCTTCGTCGATGACACATATCCTCCAATTAAAACCCTTCAAATCGGCAAAGTCAGTCACTATTATTTCAAATGTTGTAATCAATATGTTGAATTTAGTTATATCCTTAATGGTATTTCCTCTATCATTTTTATAATACATTTCATATTCTTGCAGCATATTCCTGCTGGCAGATGATCCATGGTAAACTACTACATTTAGATCAGTCCAACCTTCAATTTCTCTTTGCCAGTTGGGAATTGTCGATAGTGGAGCAATAACCAAAAATGGTCCTCGGATGCCATGTTGATGGACGGCGTTCAAAAATGTTAAACTCTGAATGGTTTTACCTAAACCCATTTCATCTGCCAATATACAATTTCTGCTATTGTACCAAGAAAACAACAACCAATTCAAACCCTCCAATTGATATTCTCTCAAACTATTGCCCGCTTTGTAAATAGGGGACTTATCTAATTTTACCCATCCATCTGGGTTCGGACGCTTCTTAAGTTTCCATTTATCTTTAGTTGGAACTGCAGAAAACTTTTCGTACAATTTAATTTTCAATGGATCAACATCTTCCTCGAGTTCCCAAGTGCTGTCTTCATATTGGAGTGACCGCCACTTTACAAGATAATGTTTAACAGTTTCTTTGGTAGTTGGGTCAGTATGCACCGCAGCATCCAAAACGCGATCAACTTCCACATAATCAGGATTAAATGGTTCATCTTCGGGATTCTCAAAAATGTTTGTTTGTTGAGCCTGCTTTTGACGATAACGTTTGATCTTGTTGGAAATTCTCTTGTCTCCTTTATAAAGCTCTTCCTCAGTTTTCCATTCACAGTGAAGATAGGAAAAATTCCGATATTTCACATAATACTCTTCTACTTCAATCATTTCCACTTCCTTAGCTTCCTCGGTATCAGTTTTTTTCTCTTCATCTTCTTGCTCTTCACTTTCACTTTCATCCTTGGTCTCCTTGATTTCTTCTTCCTTTGTTTCTTCCACTATGGGCTCTTCTTCAGTTTTTTCTTCTTCTACATCCTTCTCCTCTGGTTCTACAACTGCTTCCTTCTCTGTCTCCTCCGTTTCTTCCTTTTCTTTAACTTCCTCTTCAACCTTTTCTTCTTCCGTTTCAACCTTCTCTTTCTTTTCCTCATCTTCTTCCGGCTTTGTTTCAGTGGCATCACTTTCTACAGGTTCATCTTCTTTTGGTGGAGGTGGTGGTGGTGGCATTGGCGCGGGTGGCTCTTCTACCTTCTTGGGTCTCTTTCCTGTTCTTGTTATTAAAATATGTTGCACAACCATTGAATCTTCCTCAGTTGTATTGACATAAACAAAGTTTGGTTTATTTCCAACTTCGGGAATTGCAACACTTTCATCTGCCTCTTGTAAAACGTTTAACTGAGAAGACGAAGAATTTGATTTTTTATTTTTATTTGTAGGAGCAGGTGCATCGTCATCCGAAAATCTGAGCATAACATCATCAATGTACTTTTTACGCTGCGTATTTCTTGCCGATCTTCTTTTCGTTGTTCCATCGTCTTCTGGGGGAGATGGCGGTGGAGTCGCAGCCATATCTTCTCCTTCGCCATCGGACTCCTGAACCAAGCTCTTGCGCTTTTTACCCTTTCCACCGCCTCCTCTATTTCGCGCCTTAGATGAGACAACTTTCCTACCTCCAGAAGGTCTCGTGCGTCTTGGATTTCTTTTTGGCATCTCGCTTATTTCCTTCGGACTTGGTGCATCTTCAAAAGCATATTCATCTTTCTTTTCAGCTTCTGAATTATCCTGCACGTCATCAGCCGGAGTTTGAGAGTCAACCTGTGCTTCATCATCTTCTTCGGCGGGTTTCGTAGATTCGGCTTCAGCTTTTTCTACGACTTCTGTATCGGAAGGTGGTTTAGAATCACTATCTCTATCTAAACTCTCGGCGTGTTCGGTGTTGCTCATGTCGTCGCCATTTTCAAAGCTTTTATTAAAAGATTCGTCTGTTATGCTATCGTCTAAAGATGCTTCCAGTTTTTTCCGTCTAACATATTTTCGTTTAATTCGAGGTTCCTTTAAATCTTTAGGTTCCTTTTTCTTTTTTTCTTTGGGAGTTTTTGGTGTCTTGGGTTCTTTAGGAGTTTTAGGTTCTTTGGGTTTCTTAGGTTCACGTTGTTTACGTGGTCCACGTTTCTTACCCTTCTCCACGTCAAAATCACCTCCGAATGGGTCCGATCCAAGATCTGCTATATCCGACAAATCGCCAGAAGCAATGTTCAGACCTGCTCCAGGTGTTACACAATCTTCAGATACAGGAAGTTGTTGTGGAGTGGATCCCAATGGAGCCATTGGAGTTATGTTTGGCATAGAAACAGGTGATACACATTTCTCTCCTTTTTTTCCTCTAGGTTTTTTCGCACGTGCGCCACCTTTACCCCGTCCTCGTCCAGTTGTGCTCGATACTTGAGGACTGTCAATCATCGGAGAGGTAAACATAGGCGATTGCAAAACACATTGAGGACCTCCATTGCATTGCTCTGTTTGTTCATGTTGAGTTAATATATTTAATCGCTCTTGTAGGTGAAGTATCTTTTCTTGGTGTTCGGGTGCGGGTGGCATGCAATACAATTCCTGTAGTTGTTGCTGTAGAGCGGCACGTTCTTGGTGATGACTGATTGGAGGTTGATATCCCATATTATCATTCATAATGTGACCGGGAATAATTCCAGGTCCACTAATTCCCAAGTGATGTCCCATCGGCATACCATGCTGCATTGGTCTAGGCGCCATTGGCATAGCAGTTTGACCCATTAAAGCTGTCTGATCATATAGTTGGGTGTTTTGCAGAATATTTGTATTTTGCATTTGAGTGGGCATCACCGGATTTGCCGCTAGTTGCTGATTCGGCGTTTGTGTTGGAACTTGCGATGGTTGCGTCATTACTTGACTTGGATTGATCTGGGTTGGTGGAATTTGTATGTTTGACTGCATTTGTGGATTTACAGTAGGTGGCAATTGCTGGTTTGGCTGCATCTGTTGACCCGTTGGCAACTGATTAATCTGTTGATTCTGTTGTGCTGGTATCATTGGTAGTTGTTGTGGCTGCATTTGCGGGATCACAGGAATGGATTGCTGCTGCTGTTGTTGCGGCTGCGGTGGTGGAAGTTGCTGCTGCAGCAGTGGCTGTTGCTGCATAACAGGAGGCGTTATTTCAGTGCTCAATTGTGGTTGCAGAATAGGTGGCAATTGTGGACTGGTATTAAGCGGAGGCGACGTTTGTTCCATGATCAGAGGTGGTTGCGGTTGTTGTGGCAAGCATTGGCTCATTGGAGGAGTCGGGCTTCTACAGCTTTCTGAAATTTGCTGTTCCTGCGGTATGCTCACATCTTGATTGAATCCGGAAACAATCGAAGGCATCAAATCGTCCATCTGCTTTGCCTTCTGAACAACAGGAGGTGACTGATACATCGACATGCTGGTCACACTATTGAAATCCGTGAAGTTCGTTTGATTCTGAGTGGATTGAGGTAATATCGAATCATCACTGGATTTAGTTTCTGAAGGAAGACTGATTTCTTGGTTCGTACTATTTGCGTGATCGTCTGTGGTACTTGAAGGTGTTGGAGTCGCTGGGTGAGATGTCGACAGCGACATACTGGTAGGCGCACTGACTTCTGTATTAGTCGTACTGCTGGGCAATTTGTCTGGCATACTTGTTGTTGGACTCTGAACGCTCATATCTGAGAGAGGCGTGGGTTCCCTTGGAATGCTCATTTCTTGCATCTGGGGTTGTTGTTTTACTAACTCCGTTCGCAGTTCATCGTTGAAAACGTTCATCTGAGTATTCTGTATACTGCTCGGTATGTTTGGGGTCGGTGGAAGAGATTGTTGAGTAGGTGGCATTGATTGATTATTGCTAGGCATTGGATTTTGGTCCATCATATTCATGCCATTTATACTAGGTACGTGTTGTTGAGTTTGAGGTGGTGGTTGAGGCTGTTGTGACGGAGGCGGCGGTTGCCGCGACGCTTGTACCCATTGTTCCATTGGATTCCGCACTGTCATGGCTGGAGATACTGGGTTCTGTGGTCCTAATGTGTTCCTCTGATAAGGATATTCCGTTGCATTCGTGCTCGACGGCGGCATCACCATCTGTTCTAGAGCTTGCAGAGTACTTTGTTGAGAGTAAGTGGGTACTGGCGGTGTCGACGTCGTTGATTTTGGTGTAAGACTTGTCGCAGGTCGAGGACTCAACGTTGTTTGCATCTGCGGATGAGGTGAGAGATTTGGCTTGGCAGGTGACATAACAGGTCTCGGAGACATTTGTGGAGCTTGAGGTCGCGGTGACATCTGAGGTCGTGGAGACATTTGAGGCGACAGCTGTGGGAACGGCGCCCTGTATTGAGGGCTACCACTGCCCATAGGATTTTGTGAATGTTTGGCGGCAAACTGCTGACTTGCCGCCGGTGGTACATCCATCGTTCTCGTCTGCTGCTGTTGTTGTTGCTGCTGTTGCATTTGTTGCATGGGATTCGGTTGGTGTGTGTAGTTACTTATGTTAGGATGTACCATAGGATTTTGGTTAGGTGGCTGTTGGGGCTGCTGCTGTTGTTGTTGCTGCTGCTGCTGTCCAGGCGGTACCAAAGTCTGAGCTGGTGGGTGCGTCTGACCCATGTGACCAGCAGGTGTGACAGCATGACCCATGTTTTGGCCGTGTGTTAGATGATTATATTGTTGTTGGGCTTGAGTTACGCCCATGTCAATTTGGTGGTGTGTTTGTGGATACTGATGATGATGGGGCATTCGCTGATGCATGTAGCCTCCGTAGCCTTGTCCTGCAGCTCCGGGGTACGAAGAACCCTGCGGGTAGTGCGTAGGTGTGTGCCGTTGCTGCATGGGGTATGCGGTTTGGTGAGGTTGCTGCATCATAGGGTGTTGTGTAGGCGGGAATTGCTGCTTCTGCTCTTGCTGGTATCCCATGTGCTGCTGACGGTAAGCAGCATTCATTTGCTGGTATCTGTGCATAGGATAACCCGCGTGTTGGCCCCAGCCGCTAGCAGCCGCTTGCATACCTACAGTTTTACCTACGTTTAAATAAATTAAAGTTACATGACAAGGTTTGCAAATACTTACTCATTTGATGGTCGGGCATCGAATACATGTTGTCTGGCTGATACGGGTATTGGCCAGCAGCCCCTTGCGGGGCCGGCGGACGGGTCATTTGTCTCTGGTGCGGATAGGTCGACCCCGGTGGACCCATGGGCCGGTCAGTACCGTATCCCTGAGCGTACATACTCTGCGTATTTGGATCCATGTGGTTAAATTCAGTGCCTCCAAACGATGCCAATTTTTGTAACGGAGTCTCCTACGAAAAAAAATACAAAGTTAATATCTCGAACGCACCTAAAGCTTTAGGTATATCAATTGCTCGAACCTGAGAGTAGGTTGGTTGCTGTGGAAAAGAGGTGTTAGCATTGCGTGATCCAGTCACCGCAGGCTCGAAGTTATCATTGCCCAGCTCGGGCAGACCTTCCAACATACCAGCTCCATCTTCTCCGAATAGGTCGTACGACTCCATCGCTTTACGCGGCACATAGCGGGGCCTCGTTGATTCTCATCGCATCACAGCATCTCTTTGCGAGCGAGAAAAGAAAACATACAAACAAATATTACACTACGGGAAAAAAAACTTCGAAAACGTGCTGCACGTCGCGGCCACTAAATTAATGCCAATTATCTTCTAATACATGTACAAAATGAAACAGAGATGCAGAAAATATATGTATGGAGTATGTGTGTGTGTGTGGTATATGTATAAATCAAGTTATCAATGAACATAGGTTGAACTTTATGGTTACGAGTTTAAGCCAGCATAGCAATAATTTCTCTTGAATTGTACGATAAATATGGTTGGAATCGAATTAAAATATGATTAAAACAGTATATTCCGGTTGTAATTATCAGCTTCAATATTCAAAATGACCAATCACAATAAATTACCTTAAAAGGATTACAAAAACATGTTTTCCATCTGTTATTCAAACCGCTTCAACAAACGTCTAAATGCGATGGAATTGTCTTTAATACGTTGTTCGATTAATAATTAGCAATAAAGAAAAGGAAAAAAAAAAACGGAAAGTTACATTGTTCAGATAAGAAACGTAAAGGAAATTAATAGATTTGTCATTTCAAGGCGAAACATTGTCTGTGCACAATGGAAAAAATAAATAAAATAAAAGTAGAAGGAAGGAATGATAATTGCGACGCGACCAATTAACCAATGGAGACCAAACCAATTACCTAATAAAAATAATGAAGTTGCATTGCTTCCCTTCAGATGGACACAAGCGACCGAAACTAACAAAATATGTACGAGTCCTTCGGAGAGGAGGCGACAAAGAATTGCCGCGATGAATAATCGAAGGAACGAAGGAAATTGGTAAACATTTGCATTTTTATGCAGTTACTTCAACTTTCTGATCGCCCTGGAGGCGATTACGTATCGCATAATTTAAAATCGCGCGTAATAACCGCAAAACTCGAGTACAGTTCCAACAATAATTAAAATGCAGTTTTAAAATCAAACGAAAACAGGAAGGCGGAGGGAGAGTATCGATGAAAGAAAAACGACGACGTGGACGGACGTATGGAAAGAAAGAAACAGTCTTCGTTGGGATCGGTAGCCGACCATGCGTTATGTTGGTGGGACTAGCGTTGATGAATTTTTGGGTCCTAAGGGGAAAAGCTATACGCTTATGAATACAAAATTACAAAAGCAGCACAACTTTTCACTCTCAAGATCCAAAAAACTGTGGACGGCGGCTGAAATCCCTAGGAAACGAAGACACACACCATCTATATCTCATCCACCTCCTCTACTCTTCGCGCAATCAATTCCATCCAGGTCGAATAATGGCCGTCCGAGACAATGATTTGAAACGCTTCGTTGCAAACGGAATATAAAATGCGATATTTTAAATATAATTATTACTGATTACGCAACGATATGCAACGGTTTTAACGAACGAAACAAAAATACGAAGCTAGAGAACAGAGAAAGTGTGGAACGTCCGCGGCGTCGTACATAATTCACAGACAAAACGAAATCACAGTTTTACAATTGCAATTTTAAAACAAACGCTGAAGAAAAAATATGCAGTTGCGAAAACCTCGAGCACAATCGGATATTCCGACACGAATTGATCTACATTATTGTAGCTTTATTAAAGAAAGGTTTCGAATACTATAAATTGCAGTTCTCAGACATGATATTATATGTATAAATAACATGTCGAAATTTAATAATAAGAATCAATATATACTAAATAGAAAGTTTTTGAATTAATCATTTAGAAAATATTCATTAAAGACAAAAAAAAATGTGTTTAAGTCAAACAACATTGCATTTAGCAGCAATTTATGCAAATATTTTTTTTATTGTTTGCATTCTGTGAAATCAATAATAATTAAAAACTACTATTTTAGAAATTTAACACATCGATTCTTTACGAATATATAAACAACTAAAAAACAATTGTTTCTACGTTGTTCTTTAATAAAGTCGATTAAGTGAAGACTATTAATTAACCTCTTAAATAACTAATTTATTTGGAGACATGATCTAATACTTCTACCTAATTCTTATATATAACGTTCACTTTTAAAGCATAATGTTTCTCTCTTTATTGGCAAACTTTTATAGAAGCATTAAATAAGCAATAATAAATAATACAATATTTGGCTTAAGTTTTGGATCATAGCACTCGAGAAAATCCGAATATTTGACACGAAATAAAACCAAAACAGATGTGGTTTCTGACAGGAAATCACACCATGTCGAATTCTATTTCCAGTCCTGAGGCGATCGTTTATATTAAAGCTATTTATCATCGCATAAAATTTGATGCTAAATCACTATTTCTCGTGCACACTCATCGAAAGTGTAACAAAACGTTAATCAATTAATTGGATGACTAATTTGGACGATTTATGTGGAATTTTAATTATTTGAACAAAACAAACAACTTCCTTGTTTTGTTTATTCTTTTACATTTGCTAAATATTTGCATAACATTATATTTACGTCACAGAATTTCAAAAAAATCTATTTAGATACATTTTCGCTTAATACCATTGAAGTAAACAAAACAGAAGTTTCATTTTTGTATAATGCTTAATAGATTATTTAAGGTTGTTATGGAAAGATACTGAAACAATATTTGACGAAAGCAATTAAGTAAATAGTACACTCTAATTTCAAATCATTATGTCTCATATACAATGGACAGGACATTGAGCTAATCAAAGACATGTATTATCCTTCTCTATTATAAACGTACGATAATCTCAACAATTGTTTACAAAATGACTAATATAATTTCTTTTGTTGTTTTCTTCTCTAGAATTTATTATCAAAAATCTGCAATAATCAACACATATTTTAATGCCTTCATTACTAAACACTAACAAATAATAATAAACATTTATGTTTCTGACAATGCAATATCAAAATTCTAATTTAATTTTTTTTTTTAATCATTTGCTATTGAGGTATTTTTACCTGGTGACAACATAAGATCAAAAATTTGTAAATATATACAGAAATGTACGTTATAACCTGCAGTTCCTAAGATGGAAATGCTTCATAGTAGTTTATTTTTGGATACACGCTTCGGATATCGGTAACTGCGTAATGAAAGTATTCGAAAACCGGTGACGCGTCTTGAAGACCGTTTCTTCTTAAGTAACTATAAAATAAAATACGTAAAATATATCGACGATGCAATTATTAAATAACAGGAATAAAATTCTTATAAATTTTATCTCTGATTTTCATTGATTCCAACGTGAAACGTTCCAAACAAATTTACCTTAATTTATCAATTCGGAATGAACATCAAAAACTAAAGGGAAGTTATTGAACACGCTAAGAATGCAAAAGTTCTTTCTAGTGTAAAATATAAAAATTAGCATGTTAACACTAAGAATTAATCTTCAGGAATATTCATTTAACGATCGCATTGTCGCTTTCGAGAGCGCATTTTACAGTTATATGCATTCTAATTTTGCATTTAACAATGTGCTTAAAGAGTATTTAAATGCATCGAGTCAGTTTTGTGGGATATTTCAAGCATTCAAGACATTTATTTCACAATACACATAATTTAGTATAGTATTCGGTTTCTATAAGCATTCCGAAGCAGATTTTCTTACAAATCAAGAGTTGCAGTTATATTTAATAATGAGAGGCAAATCATTAACATATTTCAAAAACATGGTTATAAACCAATTTTGTTAAAATCAGCTACTTGTGGAGCTTGAAAAGAATACAAACATTCGGTTTATATAAACATGCCACATTCGTAACTTAAAGAAATTTAAATATATGAATATTCAGTACAGAAACAGATGGTGGTAGTATGATCGTCACACATACGTTACCTTAGGGTTAAAAGCTAACAAATATGTCCAATTGTGAATTCATAAATACATGTTATGTTAACTTGAGGGGTTAATAAAATATTACAGTTATGGTTATACCATTGAATAGCTGAGGTATAATGTCTCCATTATTATTCGGTTTACTCGAGACATTTATTTTGGGGTTATACAAGATTCGGTCGATCTACAAACTTGTGCACAGTTTATGGAGAATATTAATAAATAATTTGCATGCACTTTAAAACGCAGTTTTAATAATAAATATTCGTTAACTAAAGGTTAAACAATTGATTATTAGAAATAAAATTGTTTACATTTCTTATTCACTTATATTTGTCTCTTGTTTGGACAAATAATAATTATTTAAGAGTATTTTAATTACTGTTCCTATTAACTTTTATTGTTTATGATGACTTAAATTTCTATAATTATCTTTACTAGGTTAAATTTATTTGCATATGAGGTTAATAAATGAGTATTTCAAACCTATAAACATACCTTATGTTAGATAGTTAAAAACACATTCCAAAAAGCACTTTCCACGAAACAAACGAATAATACATCAATGCATTTGATAACGATTTATTTGGTCGTAACTTGAAGTTAAAAATCACCACACATTAATCAAAATATTTGTAGTACGTACACTTTTTGTAAATTATGTATGTGAGATTAAGAAATATTAGTTTTTTTAAATATTTGTACATGTAATCATATTCGGTTAAAAAACTAGCAATATTCAGTTTATACACACACACATTTCACACAAGATATAGGATATGTACGCCATGATCCCATGATACTATATGAACGATTTAGGACGCAGACCCTTTTTTTGTGCTATGTGCCGCATGGATTCATATTCAATGCGATTCTCCCTTTCTTTGCGTCTCTCTTTAATATTATTATTTCGGTACCTTCTTCGCAAGGAATGTTTCATGAATGGGGGGCCGCAAGCCAACAGGTTGAGAGACCGAAGACGAGAGCGAAAATGTACTAATTTTGCGCGTGGAAACCGGAGAGCGAGCGGAGGAAAAACCGTCGAGCAATTCTCGTATCGATTATTTGTTTAAACAAAACGGGCATCGAACATGTAATCCCGGCCAATCAGGGTTTAGAGCAGAAGTGGGAGGGAACGTTAATTTCCCAAACCAACATCCCTCTAAATAATATATATATATATAGATGTGTTTCAATGGGGGTTGCAAATGGGGTGAGGATTTGGGTAAGCGAGGGAGGGGTGGATTTGATGAAGGGAGTTTTTTTTTTCTCTCTCCTAGACCTTCCGTCCCCTCCACGGCTGGTGGTGCCGCCGCAGTAGCAAATGCTGCTGCTGTCTGTGTATTGATTGATTCTGGATGTGCGAAAGAATGGAATTCCAGTTGTAATTAGCGCCGGGGATGTAACGTGCAGCCAGGGTTGTCCGACCCAGGAAAGAGTGGCCCCGAGCACACATACAGATTTGAAGGAAGGTCGGTTGTCATAACAACGCAATATAAATGGTCTGAGGGGAGGCCAGCAGAGAGTAGGTTAGGAGCGATGGAGGGGAAGAAGGCGAGGTGAAGGAGTAAAAATAAACAATGGTGAATAACGAAAGGGGAGAATGTATGTATGAGATAGAAAGAGATGAAGTGAAGATCAGACATGGAAGTGGAAATGGCATCGGGGATGCGCGTTCTTCTGGATTTCAGGATAATTAAAGATTGATTAGCGGCAGGGGGTGGCGGCCCCAATACAGCCGGAGTAAAATGCAACATGGGAAATGAGCGTGGGTCAATTGTTTCAATGGCCGCTGCGATCACGGCGGAAAAAAATGAGACGAGGAGGAATGGAAGAAACAGGACGACGACGAGAGGCAATGAAAAATGTCAAATGTTTGCAGGTCGCGTGGTACCGAACCGAACGGAACGTACGTATCCATCCACCATTCCGTTTTCCTCAGCGATGTGTCGTCCTTTTTTCCTTTCCTACCTGACGCCGATTATTTCGATTAAATCGCGCGCGCCGGTGTTACGAACAATGAACTTTACGGCGCGACCGCCATTCGAGATGTCCACCGTTCGCAATGTCGCTAACATTGCTCGAATCCATCAAAGGTCTTTCGCTCTCTCACGCTTTTAGGTTCGATTGCCCCCGGTGGAAAGGACTTAAGATGAGATGGTGATAACAATGATGAACGTGGATGCACCTAGGCTTAAGACTATAAACTATTTACAGGTTTACACGAGAATAAATAGTAGAGAAAACTAATCGCAGCTTGTCCATTTATTGTGTTTCCCAGAAGTACACGGAAATAAACCGCCACGATCTTACAGAATCACCTACAATAACAGTAAATGACTGGGAGGGAAACATGCAATAAATAAGGAGGACGTGGTGTGCCGCAGAGGCAAATAAACGTTGAAGTTTGCTTGTGCAGACGATATCCAGGTTCGGATGAAAACGAAAAGAATTGAAGGAAAAAAAAAAGAAAAACAATAACAAACATCCAAAGATAACTTTTGGTTGCCGTGTGTTCACACGATCGCCGGAATCGAAGAGTGAGCGAGAGAAAAATACTTGTATATATATATGTTATACATGAAGTATACATATTTTCGGGAGAAAAAAAAAGAAGAGAAATCAAGGGGGAAATGAAAAAAAAATGGCAAAGCGGAAAAAGGCCGGATCGAGGAGATCCGGCGGGGCTTCCCCTCTGGGCGTCGATTGCGGCAATTCTTAATATATTTTTTTTGTTGGTTGTAATAATAATTCCCGATAAAAATGTTTACGCTCCCCCGGGTCATCATTTGTACGCACGCACTGCATGTAGTTGGTTGTAGTTACTTTACTCACCATGGACACCCTCGGCCTCTCTGTTTCTCTACTATCCGCGCTGCTACTGCTGCTCTGCTCTTCCCCGAAAACCGAGCCGATTCTAATTTTCACTCGTCGTCTCTGCGAGTCTGCCTTTGTGGAAGTCCTTCTGAAACAGCCCGGCTGCAAAACGTCACCACGAAGATGCCATCCGGTCGGCTGTCTGCCTTTCTACACTCGCATCACATCAAAAACGGCCTCTGGCTGCACTTAATTTCACTTAATTAAAATTTTGTGTACAAACTTGCATGTATAAATGAGTACTCCATTTTATCATTACGCTTGTGGTCGATTGATGCGACATCTCGACAGGCCGCAACTGACTCCGGTACCAACGACCGTTCTTTGGGCGCCAAATTCGAAATGCACACCACTCTCAGCGCCACCCAACGACTCATAGCCTCAACATGTCCATTTTACCATACGCACCTCTTTTATACAGGGCGATTCTTCAACTTACACAATATATTCATCTTTAATTCTTTGCTTTAAATTTTGATACTTTCAAAAAAAATTAATAAATTAGATAATTCCAATTATCAACAAATTAACCAAGAAGAATTCAAATGTTTATTTTTATTAGGAATCAATTTACATTATCTAATATCATAATTACTATAATCTGTTTTTATTAGTTTAAAAGGTCGTTTAAAAGCTTAATACACTAAATATTTCGTTCAATCAAACCAAAGTTTTCCATTCGATAGTTCAGTTATCAGTTAAAAATACGATTATTTTTGCTGTAGTGAAATATTAAATTTAATTAATCTTGATTAAAATTGTAAAAGTATTTACTCTAAGCTTTTCATTAATTTGCTGAAGGTTATTTTACTTTTAGATTTCATTAAAACTTCATATAAAGTAGTTACACAATTTTCTATCTGAATATAGTATTACGTTTAAATAAATTAAATCTTATTATCATCTTTATTAGTTTCATACATATCTTCTACCTTTAATTAAAGTATTAAACTAAATAGTTTGTAAGTAATAAGGAATAACAAATACTTTCAAAACAAATATGTTTACCTCATAAACGATTTTCTAAGGTTTCTTTTTATGGCCAAATTGTACTGAGTATAAGCTAACATGAAGAAGAAGAAGTTAAGTAAAAGGTTTATTTTTGTGTTACATCATTTGGAAATGTAGTTTTATTAATGTTACAGTAATTAATTTAATTAAATTAAATCTTATTATCATCTTTATTAGTTTCATACATATATTAAAGTATTAAACTAAATAGTTTGTAAGTAATAAGAAATAACAAATACCTTCAAAACAAACATGTTTACCTCACAAACGATTTTCTAAGGTTTCTTTTTTTGGCCAAATTGTACTGAGTATAAGCTAACATGAAGAAGAAGTTAAGTAGAAGGTTTATTTTTGTGTTACATCATTTGGAAACGTAGTTTTATTAATGTTACAGTAATTAATGTTACAGTAAAAATCGTAATTTCCGGGTAAATAAATGTTACGTATATTTTGTATGTTCGATAAAAAATACAGTGAAAGCGAATGAATATTTTCAATTGACGTTATCTACAAAAAAAAACAGTTTATCAGATCTCCAATGAATCTTATGAACAAGCAAATTATTATTCCTACATAACTCTGACCCAATTACATACAGTTATTAAACTGATAGTCAGGATAATATTTAACTGTGATTATGAAATATTTATTAATTCAACACAATGTATGTTTTTCTACATTTTATTATGATTAACGTAATGTAATAGTATTTGCATTTAGAATCTTTTTTTCCTAACGACCATGAATTCATATATGTTATTATACATCCAATTAAAGTTTAACTAGTTATAACGTCTCAAATTTTGAAATTAATTAGTAAGGTTTATGTAAGTTTCGTTTTTATATAGATTAGAATCATTTATTGTGGAGACTTTGAATATTACATAAGTAAAATAAGTAATAAATCGACGTTGGCAAAACTTCTTGCGTGTTATATATATTTATTACTCTTAATTAATATAAACGTTCATTAAATAACAATAATATATATTAATGGAGTTTCTTTATAATATAATTCACTTAGCAAAGTATCAAAGTATATGTATAATTAAGAACAATACACAATGTTTACATTTCTCTTCATAATGAAACAAGGAAAGACATCTCAGTAACAAAAAAAACCATTTCATTAATTCACAGATTTGATTTTTTTCATTACTGGTTGTTCCTTGATCATTTCCTCGTCACTTTCCGTTGCACTGTTAATATCCATCTCTTCAAATTCTTTGATATCTTGGATAAACATCACCGATTTACCATGTCTTCTTCCAACTGAAAAAGAAAACAGATTGTGTTAAAACGTTTTTTTATTAATTAGTATTATTAACTTACCCGATTTTAAATAAACATTCCGGCAATTATTTAAAATCGAATTTTTACATTTCTCTTCGCTCAATCCGAAAATGTAGCCTCTGTAACTCTACCATTAAGGAAATTATGTAGGAATATGTAATGTATGAAATTGTGAAATGTCAAGTCAAAGGATACAAATTAATGATATCGTAAGGTCCCCTGATGCCCATGTAATTAACAGCATTGCTTGAAATTATGATGTTCCTCGATTTACTGAATGTGTGCAGCACATGTGAAATGTGAATCATATTTCTTCGATGATGATTACTGGTTAGAGCATGTCCATAAGGAATCTCAAAGTGATAACCTTTCTCGATGAGTATACTGTAGGACTTCCTGTTTGCCTTGTAAGGTTTTTCGTATTGTGGGTCAAATGTAAAGATGTCTGCATCTATATTGCTGCAAGTGAACTAAATATTATTTATAATATCAAAATATTAGTATTAAATTTATAATCTGCTACCTGAAATGCCTGCTGAGTTGTTGGTAAGATTCCAAGTAAGTCGTATTTCTTTAAATTTGCTGATCTCATCTACAAAAATAAAATATTAAAAAAAAAAATTACAACATTTTATCATGGAATATATACAATTTTATGTATGATGTCTTGATTTGCGAATTTTATGGTCAACCGGTTGAAAATCTTCATATCTTCACATCTCTGTAACAATAATTAACTCATAAATGTATTCATTGTACATTTCTTGCAATTACCTTTACAGTCTCCAATGCTATAGGTGCTGGTACTACATCTTCAATTTCTCTCTGCTCACCTTTCTTCTTTTTCTTAGTAGGTTGTAGATTTGCCTCATCGAATACCTGATTTATTGCAATCGTCCTGTATCCAACTATAACGTTTTTTTAAGAAATTGATGTAGAAAACTCAAAGAAAACTTAACCTAGTTGTAACTTACATTCATAAAACCTGGAAATCGTCTTCTCGTAATTACCATTTGCTATACAGCTCTCTGCTACACATAAATCAAAGTATCCTTTAACAGATTCCATTTTACTTATCGATGAGAAACGTATTTTTGCAATTATAAACTTTCAAACATAACACCACATTGTAGACACGTTTGTTTATCTTTATACATGCAACCATACATACATATTATTGAATCCTCAAAGGTCCTCAACTGTTAAACAGTCTTCAACCCCCTGACGATTAAAATGCACTTTAAAAAGAAAAGATATGTTATTTTTATAAAATTACGTAAATTTATTTGTGACCGAAAGTAATGAAAAGCGTTTATATAATGAATTTTCGGTAGCCATAAAAAATCTTAAACTACTAAGGATATCCTAAAATTCAATATTATGCTTATTTATTATGTTGGAGATCTTTGAGTGTCGGTGGTGGAGGTTGCTCCTTGAAGATGCTTTCCAAATTCAGAGCATTATTGAAAGCACACCAATCGATCAATTTTCCAACATCCGGTTCCTTCTCAGTCGCCCACCAAAGTTCACTCTAATTAAGAACATATAAATTTAATTTAATTAAACATTAATCAAATTATTATACCTTAATATTAATTGGAATTGTATCAGCTGTCGGGCAGATTCTCCTGTTGATAAAATCCAGGAAATCTTCGTAGTAAATAAAGCCCTTTTCATCTCTTTTCAATCTAAAATCAGAATATTGAAAGTAAATGATTTTCTTACAGTCTTGATTAATTTTACACTTTGAAAATCTTCTCTAGTAGCTGAACGTCGAGTGGAATTCGACAACCTCTCAGTAAAGTGTAGAGCTCCTTTTCGGGGATCACACCGCATCGGGAAGGATCTCTGAGTAGGAAATATTCTTTAAGTCTCTTGTGATCATCCCACAAAAGACGTTTCAATTCAGTCAATGTTATAGCACTAGAATGAATATCGATGTATTCAACAAACTAAAATTGTCTTGTAATTACAAACCGGATGGCATCGCGACTGAAACGTTCTTCAATACAGTTAGATGAATATGCTCTGGCAATTGTAATCATTTCGTGTTCCGTAAAATTCTCGCCCATTATTGGACATAATTTTGATCTAAAATTAAATTAATTATAATACTTGTATCTCTTCAAAATTGAAATTACCACCTTAAAGTGTCGTATGATAAAGCTGTTGTCTCCTTGGGTATCATTTCACCTACGAAATCTTTATAAATAGGTTTCAGTTTTTCTCTCAGCTTTTCGATAATAACGTTTATATCGCTTTTGGGATACTACAAAAAATTGATGTGTAAAGAAATTAATTTTAAATTTACGTTGTGTAAGTACCAGATGGGCATGTATTTCCATATATCTGAGAGCGTATTCATCGGCATTTACTAAAATGAAATGAAAACTGTTGATCACCAATTGCGCCCCAACGAATAGATGTTGCGGTTTGTAGCATTGCGGTCGTTTACTTGTAAACATCTCTTGTCCAGGCATGAGCACTTCTTGCCTTGAAAAGAAGCATTTTGCCGGACCGAAGCCTTCAAAAAGATGATCATCAATAAATAATTATTTAAGAAAATGAATTTGCAGCACCTGAGTTTTCGCGAGCAACTTCGAAAACTTGTATAGTATCATCCGAGAGGAAATAGCAAATGATGAATTTCCTTTGGCAATTATTCTCGTTTCTTGAAACCATTCGGGCTGCGTATCGCAAAATCTGACTGTCCATGCCTTTCCTAAATTATAGATACTTTAAAGTTTGTTTTTCTATTAATTTATATTAAATTTACCGATCGTATTTTAAGAATTTTTTGAAATCCTTCAATGGCGCCTTCATCTCTACAGTTATGCAATTCTGGGCGGAATCCTCGTAAGAACCGTAGCCATTCCAAGGTGGCAATTCTCGTTCAGCTAAAGGATTCGATTTATGCAAAGCCTGAACAGGTTTCGCCAAAGGTACGAAAGTATCTACGCCGTATTTTACCCTAAATTTATAAGTATGTTAATCATGATTGGACTTCGGTTGCATATTTTGTACCTGTAATATTCTTTGGTGTTGCCATCGCAATCGGTAAGCACGATTTTTCTACCGAAACAGTTTAATACACCACCAATCGAAAGGTCTTTATCCTTGTAGTACTCGACATGCTCTTTACCGCAATTCAAGGAATCGAAAATGTATCTGCCACCTGCTAAACCATAACCCAGCACATTAAGAATAGTGTCCGGAGCATTTTGACCAGGTCCAGGAAGACCCTTGTATACTTTTGGTAATTTCGATCGTTTCATCAGAAGCGATCCAGTATCTCGACCTCCGTTCGGCGGGATGATGTCTTTAATTTCTATGGTATCATCAGCCAAGTAATAATAGATTTCCAAATCGTGAAACTCCCCGAAATCTGAATCCCTGTCATCCCAGTAACCGTAGAATCTTAAAATCTTCTTATCGAACTTCAAGAACTGTCCGAACGTATCGATTTTGTTGTTCGGTTTCTTCGGTAGAAGACATCTCGTTTCCTTATGACGATTATCCAAGTACGGATCGTTCGGTGTGTTTATGGGATCCGGGATGGCTATGCCAGCGCGATTCAGGAAATTCCGGGTGAACTTGTCGCAGTCGGTGATCTTGAACACCTTTCCGAAGAACTCGATCTCTCTGCCAACATTGAAATCCAATATATCATAGAAGTTATCATCCATAGGCGCCGGTAAACGAATCCTTTGTCGCGCAATCATCGTTCCTTGGGCCAAACCACTGTTGTCTTGTTGCTTCTCCATCACTTGAATGGTTCCGTCTTCCAAGAAAAAGTAGATTTGTACATTGCGAAGCACATAGGGCGCATCTTTCACCTCTTCCAAAGTTTGTTGAAAGAACGCGTCGAAGCGCAATGTCTATAATACGAAATTAGTTTAATAAATCAATACTAATTTTTAATTACTTCTCAAAATCTAACTTACATGCTTATCAAAAGCAATCCATGAAGGTAGTTCAATGCATTCACCTCTTGCATAGAATGACGGATATTTATCTGTTAAAGGGCCAAATAAATTTGGTTTAACTTTTTCCACCAAACATGGTACACCTTCGTTGAAGTCAAATTTAGGATCTATGCGAAAATTCGTGCGTCCAATCTAACAAGTATTGTGAATTAGAAAAGGTTTTATTACTAATTCTTGGAAGTACTTACGTTTGGATTGAAAGTTAAGCCGGGTAGGAAAGGTAGACCGGGCGAACGTGCCATGTTTCACTTCTTGGAATGTATGAAATGAGTAAATTGTATAGAAGTATAATGAAAGGTAAATCGTGAATGAAATGAGAGTTTTGTCAATTTTTCTTGTTTTGTTTCCATGTCAACGTATTATATGTTGTATTAATTCAATTATTTTACACGATTTACTTATGAAATGACTTGAAGTTAAAATCAATAACTTTATATAATAGTTATAAAATATGTATAGGAGACGTAGTAATTTGAAAATCAAAGAAATAAATTTGAGAATTATATATTTAATTTGCATGAGTTTGTCATGAAAAAGTTTATGTTTAATATTTATATTTCAGATATGTCTTGATTATTGAGAAGCCATGATACAATTATAGTATCCAGTTTCTATACTTATATCGTGTAATGAAGCTTCAACTATAAATCTTTTGTATTATAAGTACAATTAAATTAATTTATTTCCATTCAACTTCTTAATTATATTTTTAGATTTTTATTTGTAATTCAATTGAGATCTTCAAAAAGATCATTGCTAATTATTCGAATTTTAATATACACACTATTCCTTACATGAGACATAAACATCAAGTTATGATACATATAGTGTCGATGATTACTTTAATGATTACTTCTAAGTTGTATACATTCATTAAACTATAATTAAATAGGAAAACTAATTAATTAATTTTAAAAAGGTCAAAGAGATGTCAGCCTAAAGAAAAGTGATTAAAGCAAATCTGCAAGATAGACAACCAAATAGTCACGTCTGCATCGACTCACACTATCCGAGTAAACAGTCAGAAGGTAGTTTTCGGTGTATACGTACTGCAGCGATATGAACATTATTTATAAACAATGATCTCATCGTTGTTGGTTGAGGAAGACAGTGCATAAACAAATTTCCGTACGTGCGGTTTTCTTTGATAATTTTGCATACAACCTGGCTGCCAATCCACCAGAAAGGTAAATTTAGTAAGATATGACCTACTTTGTACCCATCTGCAATAAGTCTTAGTATAATAATTAATTCATAAATATAAGATCAAACTTTTAAACAAATTACGTACATAAATGGCCAATGAATTGAATTAACTGTATATGCAAATCGTTTTAATTGTCAAGTAAATTGTATTGCTTCATTTGCATATGCGGCTCATTTTATTTTTGTAACTTTTGTGTCTTTTATGTTAAACATAATTTGTAGAAGCTTCCGTCCATTCATCAAATATGTACTAGTTTCGACTTTTAATATTGATACAAGCTATTGTGTACAATCTATTTGTATGTTACAAATAGATTACTACTGGATTTCAAATAGAAATAATTCATTTTTACTAAAGCAAACATTGACTTTAAAGCGAACATGTGTGGGCTAATAAATATATTGTTATTATTTGCAAACGAATAAAAAAAGATATGGTCTCAACTGATTTATAAAGGCTTGGCAGTGAATATAATATTTTGATAAAAATAACTTGTGTGTGTATTTTTTTTATATTTATTTCACAATTTATGAGACCTTCAAATTTGGCAGACCACATGATGCAACGTGTATTTCTTTATGATAAAAATCGATGATTAGTCTAATGGGAAGGACAGGATTCGCCCAACCTCACAATGAAAATTACGTATTTAATTATGCATTAAAAGTGTCTCCCTAATTGAATATTGATCACCATTTCCCGTAATCACACATTCGTTACCGGATCTTGTTATCAACAGCAGACACGGAAGGAAGTTGTGGCATGGAAATGAGATATTCGCATTAGTTTTGTTCTATAGAATAACAACAAAAAAAATTGCACAATCGCTATTTTAAATGGAGTCAATTATGCAGCAAACGTTTCGCTTTGTGTACAAGTTTGGAAATGTGGGACAAGCAAATACATATAATGTGAATGGATGTTTGGATGTGCGACCGAATCAATGCCAATTAAAAATATTGTGTATGAATTGAGTTTAATCGATGGAAGCACGTTGTTTCGCTCTGATCATGTGATTATTTTAATTCCAGAGACATGGCGGGAGCCAGCAAGGAGGAAAAGTCTGAGAGTTCGACAGAATCCAAGGAAATCCAGAGGTCCGGAGACACCATGTCCGAGCTCATCGTCAGCACAGTTAAAAAGGTAAAAAAAAAAACATAAAGTTATTATTCTCAATATTCGATGACATCAGCGAATTCATTTATTTATGATAATGCAATAAACAAAACAATAAATTATATAGCAATCTTCTCTCATATATTGTAACATTTAATTAGCTCTACCTTGACACGAATGTTTTCATTTTAATTAAACTTTTTGAACAAAATTCTTTTGTAATTCAAGCGATTTGCGTATATTTAGTCGGAATGTATTTAGATTTATTTTTTAGGATTGTTTTCATTCGAACAAATATCCACCAATTGCGACGTACACAAGTCTATTTATATCGGACTTAAAGAAGTTTCTGCTAAGAGAATTGGTATAAATCGACTGGCGCCGTCTTATTGATTTTTTTTTCTATTTGCGCAATGAAAACTTCAGAGATGGAAGTGAGTGATATACAGTATAGGGTGGATAGGGTAAAGGATGATAGGTCAAGTCATTACTTTGACTAGGAATACATTTTGCAAAGGTTTTAAACTGAAAAGAAAAAGGATATTCCGTTAATAACATTATTGTCTTTACTTCGATTTGTATCGATAAACTAAAGAAATTATGTTGTGTTAAGTTTCAACGAAATAATCAATTTTTCTTGTAATTGAAAAACGCAATAATTGAGGTCAAAAGTAATGGCGCATTGGAAATTACGCTTTTAAAATTCATATTCCTTCGCTCCACTTGTTTCTTTTCATTTATTGTTCAATAATTCAATATAAATTGTTTATTATTAATTTGTCGTAATCTTATCATATTTTGTTCATATTTATAATAATATTTACATTAACATAGGTTTATTTTTATTTATATTAATTAAATTGATAAGATTTACAAATTGTGTCTACATAATTTGGTTGACTTATAATAATGAGACAAGAATAAAATATTGAAATTAATTATTAGAAACATGATTAATAATTGTCAAGTATGTTTCGAGGAATTATATAATTTCTAGAAAAATGTTTACATATTACCGATTATCTAGGAATCGGATAAGTGTAACTAACGATTTAGAATTAGGGACTTATCTGCCTCAGGTGCAAATGCGAGATAATGAATGATAATTACTGATTTCACGCAGAACGGCAATAACAATTTTCTAAATTAATTTAGTGCAATATGTCGATGGTTCAGCATTTCATATTTGTACGTATTGCGTTATATTTGCTTAAATTGTAGACACGTGTTTTGTTGTTGTCGAGTACTAATGGAGCGTTTAAAGAAGCGTGCGATAATTCACGCCTATTCACCTTGTACATCCTGTTAAAGAATCATCTTAGATTAATGACTTACTGTAGATTAATAAGAAAAATTATGATACATACAGTGAGAGTTTTATTTTATTTATTGACTTTTTATCAGTAAATAATAATAAATTTGTTCATATAATCTATACTTGTGCTGTAAATATTTTTAAACATGATTGTTGAACACGAAAGTAAATATATACTTTCTTTGATAAAAATATAAATGTTTCTATTTTGTAGCATATTATTGAAACGACCTTTTAACAAATTCCAAATATGTTTAAATTAAAAAATTGCAATATTTTTTTTATTGTTTTCTTTAGGTGTCCTTAGTGGGCATAGTCTACTTGGCCGGTTACATGAATTGGTCAGTTGCATGGCTCATTGGACCGATTGTGATGCTGGTGGTTCGCGATCAGTGGAGGAAGGATAACAAAATCAGAAGAAATATGGCCCAAGCAGTGGCAATGTCCAACGAGAAGACGGTCATACAAGCTAGATTGAACGATTTACCAGCTTGGGTAAGCGAAATATCTAAATTAAAGTACCAAAAAACTATATTTTTCTGCATATTTTAGGTGTTCTTCCCAGACATTGAACGAACCGAATGGTTAAATCGGGTAAGCTCTTTAAATATTTATGATTTTAGAAAAGGAATGATTGATTAATATATGTTTTTTCACGGGTTTAGATTATAAAGCAATGTTGGCCTAATGTAAACAGCTACGCCAAACATTTGATTATGAGTTCAATTCAACCGGCGTTGAGAACAAGCTTGGAGAAGTACAAGTTGAATGGTTTTAAATTTGAGCGCATCATCTTAGGAGAAATCGTAAGTTTCACTGTGATAATTAGAGGTAACTTTTATAATATTGTATTTTTAGCCATTCCGCATTGGTGGTGTTAAAGTCTACGATAAAAATATATCCAGGAATGAAATAATCATGGATTTGGATATTTAGTAAGTGAAACTAAATGATTGGTTTACTTGGTTTTGTTATTGAAAATTGCGTTTTTTTTTTCTTCTTTTTTTAAAGTTACGCAGGAAACTGCGATATAAGTTTCTCTGTTTCTGGTATGAAAGGTGGAATCAGAGATTTCCAATTGCACGGTATGCTTCGCGTCGTGATGAAACCTTTGATTTCCGAAATTCCTTTGATCGGTGGTCTTCAGGTCTTCTTCCTGAACAACCCGACCATCGACTTCGATTTGGTCGGAATCGTGGACATCTTCGACTTGCCGGGATTCAGGTAATGATGCAAAGTAGATATGCGAATTATACAAGCAAATCTGCATATGTCATTTCAGTGACATTCTGAGGAGGATTGTAGTGGAGCAGGTCGCCTCGATGATGGTGCTTCCAAATAAGTTCCCAATCAAGCTGAGCGATACGATTGAATCGGAAATTTTGAAACGTCCCGAACCTGAGGTAAATACTAAAATCAATTTATTAATTACAGTGAAGAAGTTTTTTTTTTGCAGGGTGTGTTGCGTGTGCACGTGATAGAGGCTAAAAATCTCATGAAGAAAGACATCAGCGTCTTGGGTAAAGGTAAATCAGATCCGTATGCGGTTTTGAAGGTCGGAGCTCAAGAGTTCCAGACGAAGACTATTATGAACACCGTCGATCCGAAGTGGGACTACTGGTGCGAGGTAAGAACATTTCCAAATTAGAATTATTTGTTTTTTTTGCATGCGAATAGTGATTATTTCAAATCTAGTTGTTCGAATGCAGAAAGTTTGTTTGATGTTCATTTACTCCTTTTTTGATGTTTTCTCGACTTTATGTATATTCTATCGGTTAAAAGTGAACAAAAGAAAGCAAAATACCTATGACAGTAATATTTCTTAATCAATACATGATTCAAGGTTAGGTTATTTTAGGTTATATTAATTAAGGTTTTGGTTAAGCAAAATTACATTTATTTATATTTGAATAGTAAAATTTGATGATCTAACGTCTATTTCTTCAAATCGAATTAAATTCTTTATATATTTGATGATTTATACTAGTTGTAGTAAACTTGCTCTCTTTACATTCAGAGAACTCTTTCTTGATGAATAATCTATTAATTACTTGTAACTTTTGTAAGAAAATGACGAAAATGGAATATTTCTATATATTCAAAACAAGATAATCAATTTATAAACTTTAGAATTATTTAAAGTAGGAATAAATCTATCATTTTCTTCATATAAAACTGTCAAAATTGTATGTTTGCTTTCTTTTGGTAAACTGTGAATGATTTCTGCATTTCCAACAATCTATTTTCATAAATATATTTCTCGATTTCTAACGTTTGAAAATCCAAACTTTTTTTGTTGTTGTTGTTGAAACATTTCGATTGGAACCTAGTGTTGCAACTTGTTGTTTTTATTTTTTAAATTATTTTTTATACACTCTACACGCTACAATATTAGGTTTGAGCTTCGCAAAACGACTAGTTTAGCTTTTCCGAAAATTCGTAAACGAACTCGTGATCCAATCGACCGGCGGGAGAGGCCCAAAAGATCTCTAATTGAATTTTTTATATGTTCTAGACTTCGATTAACAAATTATTTTTTATTTTATACGTTGTGTTGTTTATTGTTAGTTTGTTATATCGGATGCTAGTGGGCAACAGCTTTATCTGCATTTGTGGGACAAGGACGATGCGAAAGATGATGAGATCCTCGGAAGGTAAGAAGACAACGAAGGAACAGTTCTTTTTTTTTTCTTCCGAAACCTTCGATCTAATCTGGTTGGGGGGAATTGTTCATTTTTGTTTACTATTTTCTTTTTAAACATCTCATCCTTCATCCGCCATAAACAGTGGTAATTTTAATGAGACCGATTAAAATTCTCACCAAAAATAAATATATATATATATATATCTTTGCTTGCTGCCTCTGTACCTTTTGTTTTGCATGCCCACTCGATATGAATTTAATTAATGTCGTCGTTGTTGTAATTTTTGTTGTTGTTAATACACGAATGTATATAGGCAATGATTAGTTCGAGGGAGGCCCAATTGTTAACCTTAGAATTGTGGGATTGGGATCCTGGCTTACCAGGTACCTTTAACGATGACCCATTGGGAAGGTAGACTAGAGTTTATTTGTTGTTCCATTTTTTTGTCGTTTCTTTTTCCAGCTCCTAACCAAAATGCAGGAATCCGTTCCGCCTAACGAAATTTAATCTATTAGCTTTCCTTATATAAATCTGCACGGAGTCTATTAAAGATTAATCAATCAATCTTTACGAGACTCCGGTCTTGCACTGTACTTGAATGCAACCTTTTAGGCGGTGAACTTTTTGTAGCTCCTCCTGGGATATCTCCTGTAACATTTAACTATGTACTAATAACTTTTGATTTATTGTGTTTGGAGTTATTTTTTTTCCCCCTCTTTGACGCTTGGCGGTTTGATTTATTTTCTTTTCATACACACAGATTGGAAACAAGATTAATAAAACTGCTGTTTGTGTTAGTGCGTAGTGGATTGTGCTAAAGGACTACGACTGCACCTGCATTTGTATGATTATGATAATGGACCGACTGATGATGATCTTGGAAGGTACCCGAAACCAAAAGAAATATAAACTAAAGTACAACTTCAATTCAAACTTCATTAGACAAAAAAAAAAATATATGCACAAACTTAAAACATATAAAGTAAAAGCAAGATGTGAGCCAGAGTCTAACACTCTGTTTTGTATATAGATTTTCATTTCTTTTTTTTTATTTATGATTTGCTTCTGAGCGGTGTTTGCTGATTATTCATTAACATTAACTTAACATAACAAAAAATACAAAATTTAACACCTATTCGTTTCTTTTTCTTTCATTATCGGGTTTTGAATCGTGTATTGACCTTTGTTAACTGTTTTAGGGCTACGATAGAAGTCGCAAATGTCGCTAAAAAGGGTCAAGAAGATTTGGTGAGTTTAAATATTCAACGAAATCAATTCGTTTTATAAATATATTAGATGAACAATTTCGACTAATACCATGTGTTTTTAATAGTGGATCACCTTAGAACAAGCCAAAACTGGAATCGTTCACTTGCGACTGACCTGGTTGAAACTTAGCACCAGTTACGAAGATCTGAAAGCTGTAAGTTTGTTGACTCTTCTGATTAGATAAAAATCTATAATTGTTTCAATATTTCAGGCTTTGGCTGAAACACAAATCCTGCGCGTCACCGATATGCACACTGCCATTCTGTGCCTTTACATAGATTCTGCAAAGATGCTTCCGGTAATTATACATTCTACATCTTTACCAGTTCTTCATTTCATTTCAATTGTTTTGTAGCAAATGCGTTCGAGCACCAAGCCCGATCCATATTTGACTATTAGAGTAGGAAAATACTCGCAGCAAACTTCTGTCGTTATGAGAACGACGGACCCTGTTTGGCAGCAGGGCTTCACCTTCCTCGTTGCAAACCCTGAATCGGATTCGATGTACTTCAAGGTTTTGGATCAGAAGACTGGAGGTGAGATGGGAGAGCTCGTCTATCAACTCACCACGCTTTCGCAAAAAGTCAAATTGGAAGTACCACAACAACCTTTCGGTCTCAAGAAGGGCGGACCTGAAAGCAAATTGGTCATGTCCATGCACATGAGGGTAAGATTTCTTTATTAAATTAAGAATTAAAGTTATTGTAAGTTAGATTCATTAAGGTTATGATCACATTTATTTATATTAGAATAGTAAATTTTCATTTTAACAGTTTATATTTAATATTTGTTCTTAGATTTTGAAAAGCGATTTGCCTGAAGAAAACGAAGTACCTATTCAGCAAGATTCTGGGCTTCATAGGCAAGGATCGACATCTTCATCGGCTAGTTCAAGTATGTTTTATATGATCACGTTATAGAAAATGTTGATTTCATAATAATTCATTATAGTTATTCCGCCAAGTCCCATAAGGAAACCTATCATCTCCAGAGAACCGTCAGTGGCAAGCACCGGAGGTGTGAGTCAATTGGGTGTTACAGAACGTGCCGAAGAAGTTCTTGTTGAAGAAGAGACACCGTTACTCACCTCGGCTCCAGCACCAATGACCACCGGTTTGATTCATCGTTCGCCCAGCATCACTTCGTAAGTTTCAATTGAAAACCAAAGTTTAATATTGAAACGTTAAAGTTAATCGACACTTATTAATAATACTTATTAATAAATGATGAGATTGTAATTGATTTGTAAATTTAATTGAAGATCAACTGGAGATCAAGGATTGGGACGCATCCAACTCACCCTGAGGTACAGCGTTAACATGCAGAGACTCATTGTGGTGATACACAAAGTCGCGTAAGTTATTCATTTAATTGCTCATCTAATTACATTTGCAATAAAACAAATTCTTTCATCCGCAGAAATATTCCTCTGAAGGATCCATCGAATATCCCGGATCCATACGTTAAGCTCTATTTGCTGCCGGACAGATTGAAAGAAACTAAACGTAAAACTGCAGTAAGTTTGCATCATCGCGTCTTTTTTTTAATGTAAAATTAAATGTTCATCTTTGGCTTTTGATAGGTAATCAAAGATAATTGCAATCCTATCTTCGATGAGCAATTCGAGTACGTCATTTCCCAAGGGGAGTTGACGAGCCAACAATTGGAAATCACGGTCTGCACCCAAAAACAACTGTTCTATTCCAGCAGCAACGTTCTTGGACAAGTGAGTATTTTTTAATTATCAATAAAATTTATCTATTTTCCTTCAACAAATTCCTATTTTTTTTTAAGATTGTCGTTGATCTCGATGATCGTCTCACGCAGCCCATCAACAGTTGGTTCGATTTGCAACCGGAGATGCATTAAATACCTCTACTATAAGAAGAAACAAGAACATTTTTTATGTCGTGACATAATTTTAACGCATGATACAAATACGTTTGTCATCATGCTTTTAACCTGTTTTTAGTCATTCTATGTTTTCATAAGTGATGTGCTTACTAATTAATCTGTCCAAGGTGGAAACCAGATGCCTTACGAATGCTTATATATACTATATATTTAAAAGAGATCGATGTTTATATATATAAGTATATACATGAAAAAAAAAATCAGTATTTTTTTTCTCTTATAGAAATTGCTTGTTTTTTTGACATTACTGTACTATAATTTCCTGTTCTTATGAGGCAAACATTAATATATATGTGCATTTATTGATTGTTACATTCTTTCGTTTCATTTATAAACAATTAAACTGAATTACATACGTCTATAACATAATTAGAAAAAAATCCAATATTTTGTATTTCAATGACAGTTTCGACAATTTTTGGTTCCTTATTTTCTTTTTAGTATAGTTCTGAATATTACGAATTGTTTCATTTAAAAATTAGTTAATAAAATTCTTTCTAAGTTGCTGACAAATTTTTAAATATTCTTTTAGACATATTTGATTTAAACAAAATATTTTGTGGTCATGAATGTCTTCAAAATGGGCGGCATTTTTATTAAACAAACTTTTTGTTACTACGATTCACTTGAAAAATATCACCTTGGCTCTTTGCTTCAATTTTTAAAAACCACGTCATACATCCAACACGTTTTCAGCTAAATGGATGAAACCACAGTCGATACATCGGGCTTTAATATGCATCTTTTGGATCCATCCAATCTATTGTAGTTTCTGAGAAAATCAAAAACAAAATGTGAAAATTATGTGTGAGATGACTACGTTACTGTCAAAGTGATATTAGGGTTGCCTATCTAAAAACTCATAAATTGTAATCGGTTTCTTAGAAGAAAAATTAAGTCGTTACGGTCTATTTGATTATAAACTTGTTAAATAATTTAACACCAAGAAGTGTGCATTCTTTAAATCTAATATAAAATTTACTGAAATTTTCTATGTTATTTAAATTTATCAATTATTTTGTAAAAATATATTATAATATATTCCATAATATAAATTAATTGAAATTCATAAATTATTTTACTAATAATTTAAAAAACAAGTATTTAAAAGGTGTGTTAAAGAATAAGCTCGTAAATATTCATCAATGCAAAAAGGAAGTGTTATTTAATATACTTATGTATCCTTGTTTCTACTAAATTGCAATTTTCTATACATTATAATTTAATTTATTATTTTCACCTATGATCAATATTGATTTTTTAAATAATGCAGTAACCTTAGCAACTATTTGATTACATTCTCAGAAACGTGTAGAATCAATAGAATAAGTGAAATTTTTGTTTCAGAATTTCATTAGTTGCCATGGTGATAATATTAATACAAATTTTGTATTAATCCAATTCCTTATTGATTCATGTAACTTACAACTAAAGTTTCCACTGTAAAATCATCTACGTCGTAAAATCGTTGTATGCAAAACTTAAGATTTGATCTTAGATTCGATCTTGAAAAAGAAAAAAAAAACTTCGAAGGTTAACTATTTATAAAAGTGCAATTCATTAGTTCGTATGAAAATAACAAGAGTTATTAAATTAATTATGTTACAATTAATTTGAATATTATTATTTTTTGTACATATAATATATATTGATTTAGTTCTTGTTAGTGCAGAAAATCGTGCGAAATTGCAGTAAATTATTTTGTAAATAGTATTTATTTAGTAACAAGTATACGTTTCCTGTTAATTAACGCTCTTATTTATTATATAGCATAGATCGAGGTTTTCCTGTGCAAATATGTTTTTGTTCTATTGATAAAATACAGTAATTGTAACCATTCATAAATCGAAATTTAAACATTATTAACCAGAGAGTCGAACCGAAATCGAACCGTAAACCGGATTTTTTTAACTGAACCGTAACTGTAACCGGAACGAAAAATTGTTCAAATTTTAATTTCAACCCGAACTGTTCCAAAATTTTTAGACGAAACGAAACCGAATCTGGAACGACAAACATTTGCTTGGAACGTAACCGTAAACCGGAACGAAATTAATTTCGGTTCGACTCTCTGTTATTAAAGCACGCATTAATCGTAACATTTATTAGATCTAATTGTTGTTTTACTTCAAAGAAAAGATGCGAATGAATACAAGAGAATACCATTAGTTTAACAATTTATGTGTAGATATAATACACCTGCGTTTCTCAAAGTCATTTCTGTTTGTTAATTTACAAACGCCCGAGGAAGATTTATTGAGGCTGTTCACTAATTCGCAGCATTGAAAATATTCTAATCGAAACCGTTACCCAAAATTGTATTTGTAAATTTGAGCGATCAAGGTTCATAGTTAATAGGAAAACGATGGTAGAATTTTATTTTGCAGGGGTCAACGTCTGGAAATAACCCGAACCTCTTCGAAGAAGGACTTTGCACTAAAAAGTTTACCTTTTAATAAATTTAAAATATTCATATTTTTTATTGTTATATAAATATTGGTGAGACGACTAAAAAATATGTGAATAAATTAATCAAAATAAGTATCAGTTTTTTTTTCATGATTTTTATTATTGTGTGACAAACTTTCTATATATTGTTTTGTTATATTCTTGTGTTTTATTTGTTGTTAAAATTTTGCAAATCTTCGTAATAATTGAGTTTTAAATTATTTTTGCAATTAGTATTATTGTTATTAATACAAAAGATAGTAATGAAATTGTTTTACACATAATTGTAACAGATTTAAGGTAACTTTAAGTTTTATTGCATAAGTCAATTTTAAGAAATGTGCTTCAAAAACTAAACGGTTTTAATTACATTTTTAATATGAAATACTGAGTATATTACCGGACTGTTTGAAGCCGGACTAATCGAGAAACTTAATACATGCAAAAATAAACTGCATAAGAAGAGACGTGACTGAATAAAATGAAAAAAATCGATAATTTATGTAAGAAATAATAATTTTTTGAAATAAGTTTTTTTTTATTTTAGAATTAAAATTTAGTTTGTTTTGACATTCTCAAATCAGATTATAGTAAATCTGGAGTGATTGAAACCGCACTATGCGAGGTATTGATGCATTGGAAAAACTATACAAGAAGTAACAGTATATTACCTAATCGAGAAACTAAACATATGCAAAAATAAACTGCACAAAATGAGACATGACTGAATAAAATGAAAAAATCGATAATTTATATAAAAACTAATTTTTTTATTTTTCTGAATTATAATTTAGTTACTTTTGAAATTTCCAAACCGGACTATAGTGAATCCTGACTGATTGCGAGATATTGCTGTATTGGAAAATCTATAGAAGAAGTTACAGTAAATTACAGAATGTAAGACTTTCACGTGAACAAATTGATTGTATTAAAATCAAATATTTTATGTAATATTTTCTAAAAACAAACTATGTAATATTCTCTAAATATAGACTATATTACCGGACTGTTTTAAACCGGACTAATTGAGAAACGAAATACATGCAAAAATAAACTGAATAAAATAAAAAGATCGATAATTTATATAAAAACTAATAATTTTGTGTACTAACTTTTTATTTATCTGAATTAAAATTTAGTTTGTTGGACATTTTCTAACTAGATTATAGTAAATTCTGACTGATTGAAGCCGCACTATGCGAGATATTTCTGTATTGGAAAATCAAAGATTGTACTGGTACAGTTGCCCAGCAAACAACATAATAACGAAATAAAAACGCTGATTCGAATGTAAATATATTAATTAATCTCGAAAACCCTAAGATCAAAAACAATTAGTATGTGATATAAATCAAATATTTGAAGTGTAAATATCGATAATTTTAAAACTAACTAGATAGTATTCGTGCTTGTCAAAAATTTGTATGTTTTGTATAGTTTTGTAAACCATTTACTTTAGTTATGAAATAATTGATTAAGTAGGTTGCATTTAAACTTGACAGTTTGACGTATTTAATGGGGTTAGGTTGTGTAAGGTTAGTATTAATAAATTTAGGTTATATTAACGAATTTAACAAATTAATTAAATTTGGATCTAATTTTGTTTATTCATTATGAGTACATACGTCAAATAATAAACAATATTATCTAGTTTATATATAGAACACTTAATGGATTAGTTTATATTGTAGATAGTTTAGCCACCTAGTATATAAAGTAACCAAAATCCAAGTTTATATGTAAGAAACATCTATTAAACTAAATAATTTAAATTTATAGATTGTCTAATAATGCAAGACTGCAAATTAATAATTATATTATAAATAAATTATTGAGAATCAAAAATTAAAAGAAAAACTATAATTGAATTACATCCGTGCATAAAATAAGCAGTAAAACAGATGTAAATCAAAATTTGCGAAAACTTCATAATATTATTCGCAAGTTATTCAAGCGAATACGCAAATTGCAGCAATACTTGCGTTAATCATATCGACAGAATGCATGTATGCATGAGATTTTCGTCAAATTACAATTGGAAATTTAGCAGTAAGCAGGCTCTTCGCCGTCCAAGCACGGTCGATATTGTTATATAATCCGTTAGACGTGAACTTAATGCGATCGGTTATTTTTTTGTTCTCTATGTTTTCGGATTTCTTAATCGTGGCGTGCGCTCGTCGGTATTTACTATACAATATTTCCTTTTTTTTATTTATCTATGCACACATAGTACACTAAACAGTACTTTTATTTATTTATTTGTTCTTGTTAAGTGGAGCTATGTCTGTAATACTTTCACAGATTTTTCGCAACTCGATTGTTAGTCATGTTTCATGCGCAAAGAAACCAAATTAGACTAATTTGTGAAGACAAATAAATGTTCTCGTGAACATAACGAGCATTTTTCTTAACGCGCAAACTAAATTATAAGAAAAATGACTCGCTTAACGAGCGAAGTTTTGCATAACGAGTGACGATGAGAAGAGAAGTCCTGGATTGTGCGCATTATACATCATTTTTAAAACTTGTATATTATGTGTATTTTTGAATATGTTTCACTATACGAGTAAAAATCCGGAAATTTTGGAACGGAATAAACTCGTTAAGCGAGGTTCCACTGTACTAGATTTTGATGTTTGTTGCAAATTATAGACAAAATAAATTTTTAATATGGTGAATTTCGAAACGATTGAAAAATTTTGTGCTCGAGTTCTTGACACATATTCGAACGCGAGTGAAGAAATGTTAATCTACTTAGTTAATTGATTGACAATTATCTGCCGTGGGCTGCAATTGTTTTCTATGAGTCACTGTTGCGATTTTTTTTGTTTCAATCTTATTTTATTTATTTACTTAATAAGAAT